ACACTTAAAATGAATAAAAATGAAGATAAAAAAGTAAAAAAAAAAAAAAAAAAAAAAAAAAAAAAAACAAAAAAAAAAAAAAAAAAAAAAAAAAAAAAAAAAAAAAAAAAAAAAAAAAAAAAAAAAAAAAAGAGGATGAACTGTCACGTGCCACTTTTGAGAATAAGAGTATTGTAGCAAGAGCCTTTAACTATTTTATGTATTGTTAGATTATATTACATTATATTATATTAAGTACTTTCAAGTTTTAAAATACATCATCTAAATACCTTAAGGTCATTTTTTGATGAATTCAAAATGTTCAAATTACTATTCTAATTAATTAATTATAAACTAAAAATTTTGCTTAGAATTAAGTTTTACAAAACATTTTAAAAATATTCTCAACAATGTAGTTACTCTTATAATTACAATTGGATACATAATATATACAGCAAGCTATATATTATACGTGGCAACTTGGACCAACTTATTATCATGTTGATTTAGCGTACTCTATATGTCCATATATATAGTTCAGACTTTAGAATTTAGACTTTAGACTCAACAACAGTTTGCTACTGCAACCTGAAATGATAAGTCTGAATATTCTCAACATTGAGTTTCTTAAAATTGCTGAGGCCCCTATTAACCAGAAATTTGCCCCAATTGTATGCTCTAAACTTGGGTGGATTCTGCTCATCAATCAACTCCTCTAAGGGCTGGACCACAGTGTAGTGTGCCGGGTTGAAGAAGAACGGAATGGAAAACCTTTCCTTCTCTGAGTTCACCGTTACCCTATGCTCCACACTTTCATATCTATCATTGCTCCAAACCTGAATTACAACACACATTTGTTTACACACTACTAGAATACATATATATATATATATATATATTTGCTAAAGAACACACTACTAGAATATGTGTCTATATATATATATATATATATATATATAATGTAATAAACTGTCAATAGCTCGTTTTTTTTTTTTATTTAAGCGTCGATAAATTTAATATTATCGAATCTAAATCTGCTATCCATATGAAATGGCCTATATAGTTTCGATGAAAAGTATTAAGAAATGAAAGGGTTTATATGGAGGGTCATGTCATATTTAAAGAGTATTCCCTTTTCCTTTCTTTTCAACTCATTTGTATCTAATATATATCTTTTTTTTTTTCTGGCTCGGCTAGGGGAAGAAAAGTATCAAACAAACTTTATTAATACTAGTATAATAGAAGTGTAATGTGTAAATTTTTAAATATTTGTGTTACCTAATAAGAAGCAAAATTTCCGTGTATAAATCTGTGATCTATTATAGAATTTTGGTTTCTCATACACAACTAACTAATAAAAAATTACAGGTATAAATAAAGAGAAGTGCTTAATATATGTTATCACTAATGATGCAATCACTATAGTTTGGGTAGGATGGTAAATAGGACGGAACTAGGATTTTATTCAGTGGGGCAATCACAAATTATTTTTTATTTCTCACCATTTTTATTTTTTTTATAGTTATTAATAATTTTTTTAAAGAAATAAATTATAAATACCCAAGTCCAAACTAATACTCAAGATTAAGAAGTAAAATTCATACATAATTAATCAACACAAACTTATTATGTTAAAATAGTATTAATTCAAAATCAAACAATACTTTTTATAAAAGTGTGGAAGAAAAAAAGTGGATAATAAAAAAAAAGATCAAATATTTTCTAAGATTATTCAACCAAAAGATTGGTGGCCATCTAGGAGATTAAGTATGAAAACCAATTAAATAACTTAAAATAGTGGGATAGATTCAAGAAAAAAAATAAACAGGGTCACTTTTTATAGAAAATATATTTTGAGGGGGACACGCCCTTATCTTATCCTTCTTTTACCTCTTATACTCGCCGTCTTACACGCCCTATATTAGCGAGGGCTGGAGGGTACCCGTACGTAAGAATGCCATGCCTAAATGTGCGACCCGTTTTAGTTACTCTTGTAAGTTCTTGAGAATTCTCTTATGTTGTCACACATGTTATTCGTCACTGATGGTAAAACCTAGTAACACTCTTTTCCAAAAGGGGTATGGATATTTACCTGAATGATATCACCAACATTGATGATATAAGCATCTGGGGTGGGTTTGACAGAAATCCATTCCCCATCAAATTTTCTCCTAACTTCCAATCCTCCAACATCGTCTTGAGCCAGTACAGTTAAGCAACCAGAATCCTTGTGGCGACCAACACCAAGAGCCAAGTGAGGGAAGGGGCAAGGTGGATAGTGATTGAGTCTCATAAAGGATGTTTGGTCTTTGAAATAGTCTTTGAACTTGTTTGCTGGCAATCCTAAGCTCCGTGCAGTTAGTTCCATCAACTTCATAGCTAGTTTCGCCGTTTCTCTAGCATATTCTTCACATGCTTCCCTGATCAAGGATTAAGTAGAGCATATAATATTGTTTGTACCATTCATAAAGGAATTTTCCAACACACAAGTGTATCTTGGCTCAAAAGTGTGTCCGATTAAAGTTCAAACATTGTTCTGTTACTAAGACCCTGTTTTGTATTACTTGCGTCTCTGTTTTTTCCTTTATAAAATGGAAGCAAGAAAAGGAAAAGAAGAGTAGTAAACTCGGATTCATTTCAAGTACTTCGAAAAAAGAAAGGTTTTTTTTTTTTTTTTTTTTTTTTTTTTTTGCAAAAAGAATTGCCAAGTTTTTACATATATTGATGAAAAGTTGACGACATATAAGTAGGAAGTACGAGTAGAAGAATAAGAATGGCCGTGCTCCCATTGATAGTTTTTTTTTTCCCGCATGTCATAATAAGAAATTAAGGTCGTGTTTAGATTGATCACTTTTTGTTTTTTTACATTTTTTAAGAAAGAAAAAATAAAAACGTTTTCAAAACGGCGTTTAGCGCAATAAAGATAAAAAACGGAAATGAAAACAATTTTTTAGTTTAGTGTAAAATGATAGAGAAATAAAAAACGACTTTTAATTGTTTTTTATTTTTGGTTTTCGTTTTCTCCTTTCTCGAGCAGAAAGAGAGAGAGAGATAGACATTAATGAATTTTTTATATTGAAAACAATCTCTTGATAAAATTATCAAACGCATTTTTAAAAATAATTTCTGTCTAAAATTAAAAATATTTTCATTTTTATTTTTATATAAAAAATAAAATCATTTTAAAATAAGTTCCAAACCCGCCCCTATGTTTCGACAATCATTGTTACCTTTTTTTATAAAATTCAAACTGCCGGCATGAGTATTGCCATATTGGAGAGCAGTGGTCTTATTCTCAATATTTGGAAAAATTAAAAAAAAAAAAGTTCACTTTTATTTTGGTAGACTCTTAAAACAAGTGACCTTACTGAGATTGATTTATACGCCCTTCAGCTACCATATCTTGACTTGTACGAACATTAACAAGTCATGTAGAAATCTGGTATATAGAATTAAAAAATAAAAACAAAAACTTACCGATACAATTTACTTCTAAATTATCAAATTTCCATTAATTTTTACTAAATTATCGTAATATTCTTAATTCGATACGATTTGATAATTAATATTATCCAATAGTTTAGAATTGCGTCAAACCGATAATAAAACGAGTTTGGTGATCATCAGCCATGAATTACCTAAATTCAGGAGGGTAGTCTGGCCAGCGGCTGAACCACTCAAGGAGATCATTGTCGTCAGGATCGGGCGAAGAAGGGACCAAGATGGGGTCTACCACAGCCATGTCAAACACCTCTTTCCAGTCCCTAACGTTCTTGGTCAACTCAGTGTCGTAGTAACCCAACACGCTCTTCTCATCCCTCCTCACCTTCCTCTTCTCCTCCGCCGCCTGCTCGAAGAACTTCCTCGCAACAGACTCGAGTCTCCGCCGAGTCTCCGCCGCCACGCCGTGGTTGATCACCTGGAAGAACCCCCACTCTTCACAAGCCTTCCCTATCTCTCTCACTAGACCCTCGATTTTTCGAGGATCGTGATCACCGGCGTCCAAGGAGCTTATCGGAGAGAGGTCGATCAGCGGCACCCCATCGATGTTGGCGGCGGCTTTGGTATCGGAGAGCTTAGGCCTGTGCTTGGGGTCTTGGATGAAAGCTGGATCAACTTCTCCCATGGCTTGTTTTCAATAATTTGAAAATAATGATGAGAGTATATTGTTTGATTTCTTTGTAGACTTGGGATTTTAATTGAACTTGGACGGATTGCGGTATAATGTTAGGATGTCAGGATGTTGTAACTTGTACATCATCGCTTTTGTATGGTGCTGGTTATATTGATGAATGATGACTAGGTTAGATTTTTTTCTTACATTTGCTTGTAAATTTATAACGTTGTCCTTATTTACCAAAAGAAAGACTATATAATTTCTAAAAGATAAAATAAAAAGAAAGGAAAAACATAAAAGAAAATGTTGTTTCCAATTACTTTTGTGTCTTACATCATTTTCCAATAATCAAATATTAGAGAAAGTTAACATTATTATTGTTTAATTCCCTAATTTCATATTAAAAAATCTCTAAATTTTTATGGTTTGGATAACTTACTTGATCATTTGCTTGTAATGTCTATTTATATCTCTTTACTAGTGAATTCATTCTCCCCTCCTAATCCGTGAATGTAGACACATTTCCATATCACGTTAAATCTCTTTACCTTCTATTCTTTTTCACTTTATTTTCTTGTTTAATTATTATTATCAAATGCAGCTTGATTCTTGGTTTTCCTTTTCTCCACTCGAGGGAGAAAAGAAAAGGGGAAAAAAAAAAAATATATATATATATATGCATATATAACGTTTGTCGTACATGGACTAACGCCACTGAATCGCATCACATCATGTACATAGTCCTTTCTTTTTCCTTTTGAAGGAATCATGAACGGAGACTTGCTACCTACAATGGGAAATGTTTGTGTACATGTACCAACTTATTTTCATCTAGATATTTAGAGTACGCATACAAATATATATATATATATATATATATATATATATATATATATAGACACACATATGGACTTTAGACTGAAGAATACAGTTTGCTACTGCAACCTGAAATGATAAGTCTGGATGTTCTCAACATTTTGTTTCTTGAAATTGCTGTGGCTCCTATGAGCCAGAAATTTGCCCCAACTGTATGCTCTAAACTTGGGTGGATTTTGCTCATCAATTAACTCATCCAAGGGCTTGACCACAGTGTAGTGTGCCGGGTTGAAGAAGAACGGAATGGAAAATCTTTCCTTCTCTGAGTTCACCATTACCCTATGCTCCACACTCTCATATCTATCATTGCTCCAAACCTGAATCACAATACGCATTTGTTTAAACACCACTAAATAATAAGCTATCATGAGCTCGATTTTTTATATATTTATTTGCTTATATACTTATTTACGCATCAACTAATTACCAATCTAACATGTATCGAGTTCAAGTCAATAAAAAAAATTATTACTGATGCTAGTTTAAGTCTGTTGTCCTCGTAAAATTACTGATGCTAGTTTCCATGGAAGTATTGGGGAATGAAAGGGTTTATAAGGAGTAGAGAGGAAAAGAAAAGTATAATAGGGTGTGTTATAACTTGTGTGTAAAATCTGAATGAGTTGTCAAATTGTTTAATTCAGGAAACAACAAAATGGAGACAATAGATTTAGGCTCTACAAGCACAAGCACAGAAACATGTAAACTGATCGTTTGTAACTTTACCTAATTAATCAGAATTTCCGTGTGAGTTTATAATCCACTATAGAAATTTTTGTTTCTGATACACAGCTAACCCAATAAAAAATTGCAGATTTTAAAAAATAAAATTGCTTAATATCATCACTAAGGATGCATGTAGTATGTATGGACAACGATGGTAACGGGGTAGAGCGGGGCTAAGTATGCTTCCCCACTCTCACACCCTATACCCTTTTTTTTTGGCCTCCATACACACTCACATTAAGGGCATGTACCGGCGAATACCTGTTCCCGCGAATAAGAATGTCATCTCTAAATATGGGACACGTTTTTGTGACTCTTTTTATTCTCAGAGAGCTCTTATGTATTGTCAAACATGTTCTCTGTTACCACGGTAAAACCTAGTGATACTCTTTCAAAAAGGGTATATGGATATAATTACCTGAATGATATCAGCAACATTGACGATATAAGCATCTGGGGTTGGTTTGACAGAAATCCATTCTCCATCAGACTTTCTCCTGACCTCCAATCCTCCAACATCGTCTTGAGCCAGTATAGTTAAGCAACCAGGATCTTTGTGGCGACCAACACCAAGAGCCAAGTGAGGGAAGGGGCAAGGCGGGTAGTGATTGAGTCTCATGAAGGATGTTTGGTCTTTGAAATAGTCCTTGAACTTGTTTGCTGGCACGCCTAAGCTCAATGCAATTAATTCCATCAACTTCATTGCTAGTTTTCCCGTTTCTCTAGCATATTCCTCACATGCTTCCCTGATCAAAAATTCAGTAAAACAGTCTAATATTGTACCTTTCATAAGACAAATTTTCCAACACATAATTGTATATCTTGCCCCAAAAGGGCGTACTGTGAAATTCAAACAATGAAGTTCTGTTTGCTAAGACCTTGTTTTGTGTTGCTTATAACTCTGCTTTTCTCTTTTTACCCAAAAGAAGCAAGAAAAGGAAAAGAAGAGTTAAACTTTTTTTTTTCTTTTCAAAAAGAGAGACCGTGTTCTTAACATATCTTGAGGAAAAATTGACAATATCATACTGTGAGAATTGACCATTTTGAGAAGGAACATAAAGATACAGAGATTTGTGCTCTCCTTGAACACTCTTAGATCATGACCCTCTTTTCTCATTTTAAAATCAAATCAACAGGGTTGTATAATTCTTGTAAGATGTGACAAAACAAAATTCTTCTCATTTCATAATATTCTTGTAAGTTTATTTTTACTTTGCTAGGCTCTTGAAACAACTGATCTTAGAGATTGATTTATATGCACTCTTCACTATCATATGTTGTACGAACTTTACCAAGTCGTGTTGAAATCCGGTGTTACATAAAAAAACAAAAAAAAAACAAAAAACCTTGCCAATAGAACTTTCTTTTAAATTATCAAATTTCCATTAAGTTTTACTACATTATAATAATTTTCTTATTTCGATTTGATTTGATAATATGATCTAACAGTTCACAACTGCGTCAAAAGGATAAAAAACAAAACAAAACAAAACAAAAACAAAAACACAAAAAAAAACGAGTTTCGGTCAGCCATGAAGTACCTAAATTGAGGAGGGTAGTCTGGCCATTGATTGAACCACTCAAGCAAATCATGGTCATCAGGATCAGGCGAAGAAGGGACTAAGATAGGCTCTACGACAGCCATGTCAAACACCTCTTTCCAATCCCTTACGTTCTTGGTTAACTCAGTGTCGTAGTAACCCAACACATCCTTCTCAGTCCTCCTCACCTTCCTCTTCTCCTCCGCCGCCTGCTCGAAGAACTTCCTCGCAACAGACTCGAGTCTCCGCCGAGTCTCCGCCGCCACGCCGTGGTTGATCACCTGGAAGAACCCCCACTCTTCACACGCCCTCCCTATCTCCCTCACCAGGCGCTCGAGTTCCCGAGGATCGTGATCACCGGTGCCCGTGGAGCTTATCGGAGAGAGGTCGATCAGCGGTATGCCGTCGACGTCGGCAGCAGCAGCGGCAGCGGCTTTGTTATCGGAGAGCTTAGGCCTGTGCTCGGGGTCTTGGATGAAAGCTGGATCAACTTCTCCCATGGTTGTTTTTCAGTAATTTGAAAATAATGACAAGAGTGTATTGTATTTTGCTAGTACTAGCTCCACTTTAATTATTGATCTTTGATCTTTGCAAGATGATCAATAAGAGGTGGTAATTGAAAATGGTTGTTGGTTTCTTCTTAGACTTGGGAATTTAATTGAACTTGGACGGATTGTGGTACAATGTTAGGATATGAGCGTGTTGTACATTATCATTTTTGAATGGTGGTGATTATTTTGATGACTAGGTCGGACTTGGATTTTTCTTACATTTGCTTATAAATTTATAAATTTGTTTTGCATTTTCCTTTATGGGACTTTTTCTCGTGGTTTTTTTTAAATGTTGGTCTTCTTTGTTTATCAGTTGTCGAATCTGTATTAAATCTGATTAAAAGTTAAATTAAATTGAAAAAATAATATAGATGTGACGGCTAATAAACATGGAACACCAGTGTACTAAAAAAACACTAAAAAAATTTCCTTATTTTAGAAGAAAAGACACAATAAACTCCATTAAAAAAAAAAGAAGAAGAAAAACAAACAATAATAGAGCTCATCATAATCCCTACCCAACCTTTGTTAATTTTGTTTATTATTCCTCTAGGGAGAAAAAAAAACCATTGTTTACCGTATTCCAATGTATCACGTTAGAGTTATAAGTGGGGGCCGGGCTAAACGAACCGGTCCAAAGTACGCTGATGTTGACTTGGGCCTGGGCCGGCCATGCCCTAAATTTTTTATACTTAAGGTCAGGTTGAGACTGGGCTAGGCGGCCCAGCCCGGTCCAAACATCATATTTTTAAATATTTTTTAGAAATACATTATAAAATTTTGGGCCAACCAGAAATTTTCCTTTAGGCTGACCTAGTCCGGACGGTTTAAACTTACACCTCTACATCACGTACACAGACTTCTTTTTTTTTTTTAGGAAATTGGCATGGGTCCTGACTCCTGAGTGGTCTGATCACCACCCATTTTAAAATATTTGTCCACACTTTTTTCAACCACCACACACACAACAACAAGTGAGAAAATTACAGAATTTATTTTAAGAGTGTATGAGTTTTACCCCTCATTCTTGATTAATACTCTCATAGTTATTTAAATAAATTGTAAAATTTATTTTAAGAGTATGAGTTTTACCCCCCATTTAATACTCTCTTATTGGTATAGTTATTTAAATAAAAAATATGGAGTAAAAATTTTGATCCATGCAATTTTAAATGGTATTTATCTCATTTCTTCTTTTTAAATTAACTTAAAAAATAACTTAAAACCGGTTATTCTTTCTTGCACTAATCCCTCTTTCTTTCTTTCTTTCTTTTTTTTTTTTTTTTTTTTTTTTTTGTAATTAGGACAGACATCACGTACACGGACTAGGACTTCCTACCTAGAATGGGATTATCTAACGTTTGCCGTCCATGGACCAATTCCATTGTGCCACATCATGCACTCCAAACTCATCTATATGTATTGGATTACTGCACTAGCACAATTTAGTTTTTTTAATGGAAAGGTTATCTCCCAGAGTAGCAGTTGGATTGCACAGAAAGAATATTTATTGATGCAGCTAAATTGTTCACTGTTCATTGTAAATTTGCTAGGAAAATTTGGAAGGCAATAAATTTTCAACTAATTAAAATACAATGGCCTTTTGTCATGGTCTATCAAGGACATTATTCATGAGGTGCAGGTGCAACATGCGTTGCACGCGGATAGACTTTAAACACATTGGTCTTCTTCTCTTGTCCGTTACTGCAAGATGAAAATTATTGCTGCTCTTAATTCACAGGAGAAAACAAGCGGTGGGAATTGACACGATGTCCATGTTGACATTTTCAGATATTATTCATATTTTAAAGTTTTGACATTTTCACGACATTATTCATATTTTAAAGTCTCGACAGGAGAAAAGATAACTCATATGAAATGCTAAGAACACGTAGCAACTTAATGGGCTCAACATGTTTTACTTGGTCTCCTTCAAATTGTGGAGATTGCTTTTGCTTATGAACAATGGTATATACTGGATATTACAAATTAATAAAACGTGAATCCTACAATATGTGATCTAAAAACTAGATCTATTTTTTTTCTTTAATTGTGGTGATCAATACCACTGACGATATGTCTTTTTTTCACGTATTAGAATTAGCCATAATTGTAGAGAAACCAATGGGACTATCATTTTAGAGAATAAGCTGAGTTGGAGGAGATTCCTCTCCCATTGAATATGTGTATACATTCATATGCAGATTTATAATTTTTTTGTGATACAAGGTCTCCCAAACATGTACATAGACTGGCCACCTACAAATGGATATTTGTCGTCCATGCACCAACTCCTAACTACATAAATATATAATGTGCTAAATATTGTTGCTTACTTATTCTGGGTCCCACAATAGGATTCACATAAGAAAAAAATTCCCTACTGGCAGGACACAAATTTTCAAGCATCAGCTAAGTAAAAATCATAATAAGTTAAGAATAACAATTTAACTAAACTTAATGAATATTAAAAAAAAAAATTTGTGCCATACTCACGTTAGGGGATTTTTTTCATATTTTACCAAAGAATTCTCCTAAGAAATAACATTTGGAAGGGGATTCGTGCCATGATTCGAATCATAATTCGTGGGTCGCTACAGTGTTTTCTCTCATAAAAAATGCACGTAAAATGAGAATAGTTCTACATCATGGTTCTGAATCCATAAACCAAACGTCTCATACATCTTTCCAAAACTTCATGGTCTATGCTAGTGGCTGATACCTATATCAGTCACAACAGCCACAACCATCTTACCGAAATGGGGTTCACATTTCAATGTCCATGTTGTAACTAAACAAACTACTTTCTAACTCAGCTCAAAGGAAAATTGGTATTTATCCCCGTCAACACTCACAAAATGGTCTCGTTAGGTTGGGTTCCACCTACCAACCTAATAGGATCCACCCTTTATAAGTAGCGGGGTTTTAACCCCATCAAAATGAATAAAAGTGCTCGGCTCAAAAGCCTTATTAATAAAAGTGAATGAATGCCGTAAGGATCAACTTAAATATATCATGTGCGATGCAAACAAGTAAATGGGCAATCCCTTCACATGCAAGTGTTCAACTAGCATTTCTCTAGGAACATTAGGATTTCTTAAATAATTATAAAAATAGAAATGATGACACGCAGCGGTGACATTTGCTAGCTACTTTATTCATAGTGCAGATTCAATATATTTCGGGGTATAATGTTATTAAAAAAGGCAGACCAAATTAATCTAGCTAACCTTTTGATGAATGCTTGTCGTGAGCCTCACTTCTGTTCTATCCTAACATGGCTAATTTGGATGTTCTCAACTGCTTGTTTCTTAAAGTCGCTGCGGTTTCTGGTAGCCAAAAACTTGCCCCAGTTGTACTCCCTGTATCGTGGGGAATCTCCGTTCAATATCTCCTCCAAGGGCTTCAACATAACTTGATGTCCTGGGAAAAAGAAGAATGGAACTGAAAACCTTTCCTTCACCGAATTCACCACCACCCTGTGCTCCACACTCTCATACTTGTCATTGCTCCAAACCTGTTTCGTATGTATCCGGTTTAGATTTGTTAAAAGGGCACGTAAATTAGACTAACACAATAATGTTTTAGATGGACAAGTTCTGAAATGACCACATCCGGATTAACACATTACTGTCACATGATACTAGTGCGTAGCATATTACTCTTGTTGTTATTGATACAGATTGTGTAGCTAGCAGATCAGACTCATGTCAAGTTATTGCTATGGCTAGTAATCTTTAGTATTCTGACTCATATTTTTCTTCCTTGTTCATTTACATGACTCAAGCCATATTGCTACAGTGTTTTCTCTCACAAAAATTCAAATTCAACTTTTTTACTGAAGTGCTTTTCTCACATGCACAACTCAAGTCATGACTTGAGTTGTGCAAATGAACATTAGTAACAATGGCATAATTTTCTCTCTTTCCACAAAATGACTAAAATTAAGTCGGTTCATGAAATGTTGTTACCTGAACAGCATCGCCAACATTGATGATAAAAGCATTAGGAGTCGGTTTAACTGGGACCCACTGGTGGTCGGATTTCCTCCTGATTTGGAGTCCTCCAACAGAATCTTGTGCAAGGATGGTTAAGGCACTGGCATCCTTGTGGCGACCGACGCCTAGAGCTAGGTCAGGAAAAGGGCAGGGAGGATAGTAATTCAATCGGACAAGGCTTGTTTGCCCTTTGAAGAACCCATTTAACCTGCTTTTGGGCAAGCCTAAGCTCTGTGCAATTAGTTCCGACAACTTGTAAGCCAGTTTTTCCACTTCTCTAGCATACTCCTGGCACACCTCTCTGATCCATGCAACCAAAAGCCATAGTATGAAATATCTACCAAGTCGGGTTTAATGGATATATCCTATTTACGATGTTTTTGGTTTTGAACGGCAAGTTTTGGTTAAAATTCAATTTTTTTTTTTTAAGAGACCGTATAAAAAGGTCTGAATTGTAGTTCAAACCCATGAACTAAATGCATACTTAGTTAGGCACAGCATATTTAGGCCTCGTTCATTTTACCGATTTGAGTTTTCAATTTCAATTTTGTTACAGTTAAAAGCTGTCAGAAACAGTCACATCTAACCTTTTTATTACAGTTAAAAACTCTCATATAAAGTCACATCTCAACTCGAATTGGCGAACTAAATTAGACCTTAACCTTCTAACAATGCTTCAGAAGAACAAAAATTTAGCATAGATCAGTCATCAAATTTTCCTATTTCTCTTACCAAAACTTGAAATTACTTCATCCAAATTATGTTTAAATTGCAAGCAATATTTTCTCCAGTCAAATTATATTCAAGAAGAATTAAAAGCAAAAATTGAAAGGAAAAAAAAAATACCTAAACTCAGGAGGGTGAAGAGGCCACTGATTGATCAATATCCTCAACTCCTGATCATCAGGCTCAAGAGAAGCTGGAATCGCCGTCCGATCTTCCACCAAGAAATCAAACACTTCCTTCCAATCCCTAACATTCTTGGTGTTCTCGCCATCATGGTATCCCATGGCGTTCACCTCGTCTCGCTTAACCTTTCTCTTCTCCTCTGCGCTGAGCGCAAAGAATCTCCGACCAAGATCTTCGACTTTGGCAAGCAATTCCAATGGCACGCCATGGTTGACGACCTGGAAAAACCCCCAGTCCTTGCACGCCTGCCCGATCTGCAAAACGACGTCGCCGGGAGCGGACGAGAAGTCTATGATTGGGAATTCATCGTCGAAAGCATCGGAGATTTCGAGGTTTGGTCGTTGGTCGGTGTCTTGGATGAAGGCTGGATCGAGCTCTCCCATGGCTGTGGATCTTCTTGTATTCTTCTTGTATTCAGTGGAACTAAGAAGTTTTGGAATTGTATTTTTGTTTGTAGTGTACATTGAACATGGACACTTATCTGAGATTTTTTCTTTCTATCTTTTTTGAGAAGTAGACAACATTTCTGAGACCTGATAGGTTCATCTTTGGAAGTTTTTGTTGCATGGTTGACAGGTAATGTTGTTGTAAGCTGGGTCTATGTTCATTAGAGGTACACATTGCAACAATTCATGCCAATTATTTTTGAGCCGAAAATAATAATAATAATAATAGTTAATGATGAAATTTTAGACGGTCCGCCCGCAACTGCTTAAAAAAATCAATTTTGAGCATGCTCGCCCGAATTTTTTAGGCCGTCTACCCAATAAATAAAATTTTTAAAATAATAAAACAAATGGTACGTGCGCAATATGTGACTTGCCCAAGACAATGGGCTTGTTCTTTTGGAGTTTAACTTGAGTATAATTCTTAAGTTGAATTTAAGTTATAACTTGAGTTAAACTTGTAATTTGAGTTTGTGTTTGATTGTGTACATTTGAGTTATGGTTTGAGATAAGAATCTTTTTGAGTTTGTGTTTGAGTGAGTCAAAACTTGAATTTGTATTTAGATAATATTTTAATAAAAACTCAAAACTGATAAAAAATTTTAATAGGGTATATAGGTCGGGTTTTATTCGTCTTTTCGTTGTCAACGCATAGAAAAAAAATCATCTCAATCAGAATTAAAACGAAAAAGTTATAGCATTTTTAAGAATAGAAAAAATACTGTACATTAATTTGAATTCGAGTTTCTGAACTCGAGTTGAAGAAGAAACTTGAACTCGAGTTTTAGTCCTAAACTCGAGTTTGAACTCGAGTTTAAACTCGAATTTAAACTTAAAAGAACATGAACTCGAATAAAATTGTAACTCGAGTTGTATTTTTTTGAGTTTTTCACTCAAAAGAACGAGCCTAATATTTTCTTATGTGTAGTATCTCCTTGTACAACCACTATGTCTATGTTGTTTCCCGTAAAAAAGTGTATCCACGTAATGTAATAACAGAACTCTTTTCTCTTTGAAGAGGAAAGACGGAAAAAAATAACAAATAAAAAGTAAAAAAAAAATGTAAAGTATATAAAAGGCTTTCGTTCTTACTCATTGTCGATATAGAAAATTTATGAAGAATTCGATTGGAAAAGATTTTATACCATTTGGAGTACTTTCGAAATACGAACATAGGAATAATTGAAATATTTGTTTGATTGAAAGAGTTCATATGTTATTTATAGAATACATTACCCAAAGATCTATGAACTAGCCCATGTTTGATTAACCAAACAGACAAACGACCCTGCATCTTTTTTCTCTCTCCCGCATTTTTACTTGTATTTATTTCTATGAATATTATAAAATAATTATTGCACATTTATGATAAAATTTCTGAAGATTGACTCGCTGTTTGTTATTTTGTACTTGTACAAAAGGATCTTGTCTAATTCACTAATTCGTGGGAAGATACTAAACTTTTGTATTCGAAAAAAGTTTCAGTGGGGATCTCTGAAGTAGAAGGTGATTGATACAGTAACCGTGATTATAATTTCCAGTATGAGTACTGCGTCCAACACGAAACTTGTGGCTGGTAGTAAAAGACCGATTCTCCTGTTTGAAAACCTCTGCCTAAGGTCGAGTTACTTTCTCTTGTTTTGGTTTGACTTGAACGCACGTGACTCACTCGCCCGAAAGAGTGCTTGAACATAACTAAGATTCTCGTATCCATAGGCTAACGAGGAAGTTAGCCCTTTCTATGGGGTGGAGGGATTCGATTCCTCCTCTCCCGAGTGCCTGAGAAAGCCCATGAATGAGCCGCAGGCTTGATTTTGACTGCCCGAGCCCTCTCGAGAAGCCCGTATATTATATTATATATAATATTGTTTCCCATACACACGTCAACGACTAGATCAATGCCAATTGTCCATCACACAGTAAATAAGGCACACACCCAAATCCACCAATTGTCCCTTAATAGACAACTAGCTTTCAAATTTCAACCACATTTCGAATCTCAGTTTTCGAGCATAGCAAGAGAGTCGGCAATTAAAAAAATCAAAAAATAAAAAGAAAGAAAAAGGTGAAGATGATGCCGACGACGATTCAGAAGGCGATTGGGGCAATGAAAGACCATACGAGCATCACGATCGCGAAGGTGGCGAGCAACATGGCGCCGGAGCTGGAGGTGGCGATCGTGAAGGCAACGAGCCACGACGACGATCCGGTGAGCGAGAAGCACATCCGGGAGATCCTCAACCTCACATACTACTCAGGTGGCTACATCCACGCCTGCGTGGCGGCAGTGTCAAAGCAATTGGGGAAGACGCGTGACTGGATCGTGGGCCTGAAGGAGCTGATGTTGATCCACCACTTCCTTAACGATGGCAACCCTCTATTCGAGGAGGAGATCCTCTACGCCACCAGGAGAGGCACCAGGCTCCTTAATTTGTCTGATTTCAGGGACGAGGCCACTCGAGCTATTGGGATCACTCCGGGTTCGTCATGACTTATGCTATGTATTTGGATCAGCACCTAGACGGACGGACATAGGGTCATGCCCGCCGAGCCCGAAAAAATTCAGATTTCAGGCAGGCTCGCTGTCCGAAGTTCCTGCACTATAATAATAGTTGTCCATTTAACTGTCGTTTGAAAAAAAGTGAATTGTATTTGTGATTTAAATAAATGGACGTGATAATTTCTTTTTTCTTTTTTCTTTCAAAAAAAGAGGAAATTCATAAATAAATAAAAAAATAGAACTCTTTGACCACCAGCAATATTCACAGTTAAACACCCTTGATGTGAATTTGATGACAAAATAACAAAACGAATTGTACATTGTATACGTAAGAGACCGAACAAAAATGGAATTCGTCTTTGATCCTTCCTTTTCTGATCTAATACGGGATTAAGTCCATAAATGTGGGTGAATGAAACAACATATTTAGAGTCTGCTTAGTTCATTAATTTTTAATTCAAGTTAAATGTGACTTTATGTGAGAATTTTTTACTGTACTAAAAAAATTAAATATAACTATTTTTAAGAGTTTTTTACTGTAACAAAACTTGAATTTTAAATTCGAATCTGTGAAATAAACGGACCTTTATACTCCCAATTTTTCTTTTTCAACATGGATGACTTTAAAAAGATCCAGATGAATATTTTATGCTTCGGAGAAATGCACAAATTCAGTGGAAGAAACATAGTATTTTGAATGGGACCGCAAGCCCAAACCCACTTTAAAAGACGACTATATACAAATAAACCAAGGTAATTTGAGTCTAGAAAGAAAGAGTGAAGGATCCTAGTTCTTTCAAGCAACAGGCATGGAGGTGGAAATGACAACATAAGACAAGTATTGGAGACCATCTTGGATTTTGCCCACGGCTGTCGTTTGGTCAGCGCGGAGGTGTACAGAAAAGGTGTTTGCTTTTTCTTGGATTGATTTCTGTGGAAGAGCTTCATGGGATTCAGCAGAAGCACCCTTTATGGCTGCCATATAAGCTTCGGCAACATCGGATATACCTTAAAAAGGAGTTAAAGAATCCAAAATTCAAACTGTCAACGGAAATATCACAGTATTGTACAAACCCCCTGATGCTAAATATGCAACAAGATAGGGCATGGAAAAGTGACTGACATAAACAAGTTGCAAAAAAGTAATATGTTTTGATTTTGAAATTAACATGCATATATCAGAGCTGCATGTAAATCAAACCAAAAAAAAAAAAAAAAAAAAAAAAAAAAAAAAAGAAAAGGAATCACTACCGTATAAGCTTTTCCTCGTTTAATTTGAAAGCCTGGGCACTACCTGGTTTGTTAAAAGGGTCCATTATTCCCTCAATAAAACCACTTTTATTTACACAAACTCATAAGACTATGCTTACTCTCCATATTTTGGTCTCTAGAAGTATAATACATTGATTCTCACTTTAATAGCTAAGGGTCCGTTTGGGAAGTGTATTTGAATTATAATTTGGGTTTTGATTCAAATTCTTTGTTAAAGAACTATTAGCAGGAATTTTTTTGATTCAAATTCTTTGTGAGAAGAAAACACTGTAACAGAATTATGGTTTGAGTTTTGAGTACACGTACCAAACAACATCTTAATAAAACCCGTAGCTGAGTTAACATTTCTCTAGATGGGACCCCAAAAAAAATGTCTGTATTTCTCTTCATAACTATGTATTGCAAATAAAATAACGAAAATGAAAAAAATACCGTACGAGGGAGGTGCAAAGAGAAATGGAACATTAGACAATCAATGATTAACCTGTGATGAAACTGTTGGAAACTGCTTCCACATATCCCGTCATTAATTGTGCTTTTGATCTGATTATTTTAGCTTTTTCAACTGAATCTTCAGGCCAATCAATATTCAGCACGTCAGCATCAGCGTCCTCCTGATCTTTGTTTGCACCAGATATGATGGACTTACCAAGCATCAGCAGTTGGGAAACAGCTGAGCAGCACATCTCCGAGAGTCTCTGTAAGTTACACAAGGTTATTATATATACATCCAATTTAACCCCAGTGACAAGAGTTGAATAGAAACGTATTCAAAAGGAATCCAAGATATCTCCATACATGAACACCCTCTGAATGTAGAGACTCCAGTCTGCCAGTAGTCCTGTGTACTATATCATTAACAGCTAGTCCGGCTAAAGCACTGGTAAACCTGCATATGTTGGACACAGCAGACCTCATAAGGTTGCAAGAAAGGTTATAGGAAGAAGGTAAAGAAACAAATATGAAACAGAAGATAAAAGGAAAGATGCTTTCTCTAGATGATTCATGTTCACAAACTATATGATAAGAACAGAATATAGAATTCAACTAGAAAGAAATGAAAGAACGAATATGATCTTTATTGACTTAACAGAAATGAAATACAAGAACAGTTCTTCGAGATACTGCCCAATCTCCCCTGCTCAGCATTAGCCAAGACTTCCTCAACAAGACTCCAGTAATTTTCTCCCCTCTCTCAGTTCCCAAACCCCCCTTTTAATATCCTCTGCCAGTAACTAACTAATAACATCCTTTCTAACAAACTACTAACTTCTCTAACCAACTAATAAGTTCCTATCATTACTCCCGCCCCAAACAAACACCTTGTCCTTAAGGTGTAAGTCAAGAAATTGCAGCCGAATGACTCCACTTCCTTCCCATATTGATGAGCTTGAATCTTGGAACGTCAAATGGAGCATTATTAGGAGGCCCAACCCCAATTGAGCGGGAATCAGCCCCAATTGCACCCGAATCACGGCACCCAGTCCACATTCGGCCGGAATTTCGGAACCCAACCCAAATCATGCCTGAATTCACGCTCAAAAACGCTGACCCAGTTCCAACCATGCCAGAAGGCGGAGACCCAGTCAACATTGCTCCAAAATCAGCCCTAACGACTCTTGAATTCCAAGACCCAAACCAAAAATCGCGAGACCCAACCCCCAAATTGCCGAAATCGAAACTTATTCCGCCGCCAAACGTTGCCCAAGGATCTCCGTTCAGGTCTGATTCGCGTCGAGCCCCTCCAAATTCCCTAGGTTCCACCGCCGGCCCTTTTCCACGGTCGATTCCCCCTCCGTTCAACCCAACCCCGCCGCCGACAACCCCCAACGTCTCCCGGCGATCCTCTCTGGAAACCCTATGATCAGCCGAAATCCTTCCTTCATGCCCAATTTCCTCAACTCCGGCCAACGACCCACGGCCTGCAACTTGACCCGAACCAATTTCCTCATCCCGATTTCTGGCGACGCTTGGGCCGATTTCCTTTGTCAGCGTCATAGCTTTCCCCGTCACCAACAGAAGCTTCATTTGCTCTTCCATCAGTCGACGCAAATCAGCGAAGTACTGGTTCATCTCTGCCCTAACATGTTGAATCTCCTTCCCCATCGACTCAAACCTCTCCTCCCACTTCTTTCCGGCCATAACCAAGATCGATGCTCTGAAACCAATTTTTAATTCTCACTAAATAAGTGACACGTGGTAATTATGTCACTTATTACGAGAAAACTTATTAACGGAATAAAATTTAAGAGAACGGATGATACATTTTAAAATTTAAGAGGTAAAGTGTTATGAGAGTCATAATGGTATTCTTGATTTTTACAATTCTTTGGAGTCGCCAATTTGATTTTGTTGTTTGGAAATTTATTTGGGGGAAAATATTTTATTTGTTGTTTGGTTGACGAGAAACAAAAAAGAAAGTGAGCATGGAAAAGTTTATGGCTTTTAGATTCTTGCAGTGAAATTTTTTTTTTGTCTGGTTGATATCGGTAATTTATGAGAAGGATGATCAATTGAGGCTATTGATGATCAAGCTAGAGTTTTGGATTATAACTCATGACTTGTTTTTTCTTATATCAATCTATTGTTTTCTATAAGCCAAGGGTAATTCCACCCGATTTATCAGAGCTTTCAGGTCGTATTCCAGTTCTATGTCCTCATGATTTGATTTTTTTTGTTTAGATCTTCTCACGAAAGATTACACGTCTGATTAGAAAGTCTTCGTCTCTACCTACAGCGATGCCGTCGTGGTAAGACAAATTTCGTTTAATCTGTGTTTTTGCTCAAAATTTGAATATTTTTTGTTTCTTATATCTTCTCAACTCAGAGCTCTTCTGATTCTCTCTCTAAACGGTGATTTGTATTTCAAATTGTGATTTTTCCTGTTTTAGATCTTTGTTTTGGTTTTGGTTTTTGGTGTTTTTATGGTTTTGCGGCTTTGTGGATCGAGTTTGTTTAGTTTACGTTCAAATTTTTTCCCGGAATGAGATTGTTTTGACCGGTTTGATTTGGATTTTGTACAAAATTTTCTGGTTTGGTGAAAAAATTTCAGGTGGTGAAATGGCACTCAAGAAGATCAGAGAGTACGATTCGAAGAGATTGTTGAAGGAGCATTTCAAGAGGCTCTCTGGCCGTGAATTGCCGATCAAATCCGCTCAGGTTAGTATTCGATTTTTTTTAATCTTTTTTTTCGTAGATTTTGTTCCTGTTTAGCTTATAGATCTCGAATGTTAAGCCTCTTTTAGCTTTTTTGCATTGCATTTTTGTAATAGTGACTTTCATGGCGACCTGATCTCCCTTCAATTGTCAGGATTTGATTAATCTGGTTCTGTTTGTGTATTTTTTCGTTGTGAACTTAATTTATCTTATATATTTAGGATTAGGAAGGTATAGTTCATCATATTCAGAATTAGAATGTAGAATTTGGATTTCGTCAACCGTTAAAAGAGTTTCTCTTTTCCTCTTTCTTTTTAGAGAAGAAATTTCTGGATTGGTGTTTGTGTCTAGCTTTGTGATAAGAACAGAATATTGACTACAACCAGAAAGAATCCGAAGAACGAAATATGATCTTTATTGACTAACGGAAATGAATTACAAAAGCAGTCTTTCGAGATACTGCCAAATCTCCCATGCTTAGCCTTAGCCAAGACTTCCTGTACAAGACTCCAGTATTTTCCTCCTTCTCTCAGTTCCCGAACCCCCCTTTTAATATCCTCTGCCTTCTCTAACTAATTCCCTCCCCAACTAAAGTCCACAGTAACTAACTAATAACATCCTTTCTAACAAACTACTAACTTCTCTAACCAACTAACAAGTTCCTATCACTATATTGGCATACTTACAAGATCCCAAAGCCCGTCATTTAATTTGCTTTAGGCAATTATCTCCTTTAAGGCAATTCTGGGTCTATAACGAATATATGTCATATATATACATGCGTATTGCATATAAGAGGCAGATACAGGTTGCAATGCCTGGAACTAGTTTACTGTACGAACTATTCTGTGAGAATCATGTAGATAACGCAGAGTTGGAATCCGTTTGGAATTGCTTTACATTGTTTAAAGCACTCTTATCATTTTTGGGGTGTGTAAGAGGAGCTTTTTAACATTGTCGAGGTACCAGGGAATGGTGGTGCCTCAAAACAATCTTAGCTAGTTACTATCAGGTTATCAGGTTAGCTATAAACAAAGACAGCCGACAAGAGAAATTATAAAGAGAAATGAAATGAAATGAAGGTCAAAAGAGCAGCAATAAACAAACAAACATAATAAGCATAAATGCATAATTCTATTTCAGAAGGACGGCGGGGGAAGGGGTAACATATAGATGAATTTCTAAAAGACATAAAAGGCATGTGTTGTTCTAGACTAATTACCCTGCAGCCATGTCAGCAGCCTTGCTCACACTCGAATCATGCAAATCTTTAATCTCATCACTACTTCCATCAACCGTAGTCTCCTTTTTCTTTCCTTTGCCCAACTCACCACCACTTCCATCCAGTACGGTACTTAAACTGAAAATCTGCTGAGCCTCTTTAAGCATTCCATCATAAACAGACTTCTGTTCTGATAATAACTTTCCTTTTCTTCGGTTAAATAACAATGCATAATGGCTGGACAACGCCTCCAGTTCCTGCTGTCATCATTTAATGATTTTAATAAACTGATTATAGCCAAAAAAAAAAAAATGCATAAGAAAAAACTATGAACCTTAAAGATAGGAAAGTTACCTCCAAGTGTTCTGGACCCCCATATATATAAAAGCATCGGTCAAATGTCACTTCCTCAAACAACTGACTCTCATCAGCTTTTTCTTCGGCGCCTTTAGAGTTCTTTTCAACTTCTATACCAGTCTCTGAGATAAGTAGATCCATAGTCTCCTTTCCTACGAGCTCGAGCACTTGGATTCCCTTTGAGGTAAAAGCTTTTCCAGTCTGTGATGAGCAAAGAGATATAAGCAATGCTGTAAAAATTTGTGAACAAGCCGGATGTCAAAGAGCCATGCAAACCTCTAATATGGATGGCGCAACGGGACCACCGTGCTGAATAGATTCTGCAAGGTTTGCAGCAGAATGCTCAAGCCTAGAGAGATGCAACACAAAACTCATAAATTCAAAAAATAAAAAAGAAACCAGCAAGAACAACCAATTGATCTGAGGGCCAAAGTACATACAATATATGGAGAGTAAACACATCATTTATAAGTAATCCAGTCTAATTAGCAAAAATAGAAGAACTGAAGTAGGAATTGAATCGTCAACAAGAGAGAGAGAGAGGGAGGGAGAGAGAGAGAGAGAGAGAGAGAGAGAGACAAATACAATCATGAAATATATGTTGATCATCAAATGACAACACAATCAATAAATCAAATGGTGAAAAAAAAGTAAGAAAAAATAAACGGGCTTATCATCTAAGTCAAAAGTTAGAAGTTAGAAGCCCGAGGCACAAACTTAACTGACTAGAAAATTAGTTCATTAATAAATTGGGGCTATCAGGCCATCTTGTATTTGACTAATTCAAAGTTAGAATGTTTGACATTTAACTGAAGCAGAACGTACTTATGGACCAATTCTGTGCCGCCTTTCCATGCACTTCCAAACGCCTGCCATGCTCCTGAAGCAAAATTCTCCACAGAATTATCCAAAACCTTAAGACCCTGCACATATTATATTGAAGTAAGCAATCAAATGGTTAGTAAGACCATAGAAATTTAAGGAGCTAAATTAATCTTCAGGGATAGCAGAATAACTAAATTACACACAAAATCTCCCACATTAACTTTGATCTAGACACTCTGCAACACAAACCTGTCCCGATTGTGAGCAAAAAATTTATCATGCTTAATTAACAACTTGCCTGACTAAAGATTGAATCTTCACTAGCTTTCTCCAATCTGTCCAGAGCAGACTTCCGAAGTTTCAAACTCTCATCCTCAGATTCTTCATTCTCCTTTTCAGGTTCAGCTGCAGATTCTTCAGTCCCTTCACCCTCCCTAGAAGACTCTGACTCCTCCTCAGCATTTTGCAGGTCCGCAATGCCCTTCGCGGCCACAGCAGCCTGTATTCACAAAGCACTGCTAAAGAGACATTGAAACCAACAAAATGTTGGACCTTAAATTGGACTGCAGAGAAAATCCAAACCCACTCTTCTCTCAATTTTTTTCCCTAATTCATCACCTCAAACCGGATTATGGCGACTACAAAATTTCTTACAATCACAAAGTAAAGCATTAATCTTTCCTTACTTACCAATTAGAGTAATCAAAACAACGCTCTGAGACCTCAAACAAGCAATGCCAATTTAGAAAACAGATTCAACATTGCAGAAAATATATATAATTCAAACCATAAAATTCAACCAAAGAACAAAAAATAAAATAAAATAAAAAAGCGGATCATTCCCTTTTGCCTAAATTAGATCTAATACTTAACAATCCCCAAATAGAAAGCCGTATCAGTCTAATACACTGCTTCTAACTATAACAATCCAAGAAAAGTAAAGGAAAACGGAAAGAAATAGAAGCAATTAGGTTAATTTACATATCAATAGAAACTTACATTGCGAGAAATCTCTTCGGCCGCCTTTTGGAGATCAGAGAGAACAGAAAACGGCGAAAATCCCCAGCCTCCCCATCCACCTCCGCCACCACTTTTCTGCGGCGGCGCCGTTGATTCCTTCTTCTCCGTTTCTCCGGCGACTTCACCTCCTTCCTGTGGAGCCTTTTTCTCTTCCTTCAGTGGCTGTCTCTCTTCCTCCATTGCGGAACCGAAAACAATTCGGTCTCCGATTCGAATCTCCTTTGATCTGAGGAAAAAATGCGATTTCGATTCTGGTCTCGACGGAACTCTGGTTCGAGATTTTTTAAATCGAAAATGGCGAAGACTGTAACCGTAGATTGGAATAGAATGGAATGGGCGTGATGTTCACGATGTGCTTGAGTGAGTGCTTCAGCGGGCGTTGGATCGGAGGACGCAATTACGACACGGTGTCCTTTCATTTGTTAAACGACCTCGTTTTCGTATGTCCGTGGATCAATCATCCTCCACGTGTCGATCTCTCTCGCCGCTTCATCGTCCCCGTGGGCGTGGGAGAATTGAGGATTCGGGTTGTTGGGTTGGGCTTTGCAGTCGCTTCTAGATATTGTGGGCTGGGCTCGTCAATGTCCACATTGAAGGCCACCGTCGCATGACGGTGAGAGACAACCTATCAACGCTCATTCACTTACATTCAGGGATTGATTTTTATGGGCCGCAATGAAATTATAGCTCTCATCGAAAGAGTTTTTAGTATAATTGTCTTTTAAATTTATCATGATTTTATAAATTGTCCTTTAAATTTTTAATTTTAATAATCAATCTTTTAAATTTGTAAGTTTATTGTAATATACTATATTTTATTAAATTTGTTCAAAATTTTTATTAGATTTAAGAGATTAAAATGTGAGAAATTAAAAAATTTGTGTTACATTTAAATTATAATGTTAAAATTTTTCGTTGAGCGTATTTTTTTACACTAATTTAACACAATCATCGTTAAAATAAGCGTATTATGTTAATTTACTAATTCATCCCAAAAGTTTAAGCGGTTAGGATGTGGGTCAACAATAGTTTAATACTTTAACACTCCCCCTCACGTGTGGGTTGGACAATAGGCAATCATGTGGGTAAATTAATTAAAAAGCCCAACACGTAAATATTTAAGCCTGAGATATCTTAAAAATCCAACACATGATGACAATTTAAATGGGAATAAAGAGTGCAATTACAGGAGTTTGAACTCAAGATATCCCGCTCTAATACCATGTTAGTTTATCAATCCATTTCAAAAGCTTAAACTGTTAAGAGGTAGGTTAACAATAGTTTGATATTTTAACATATTGTAACAACTTTGTAATTGAGAAAATAACTTGTCAAAATTAAAAATTTAAGAAGTAATTTATTAAATTATGATAAATTTAAAGGACAATTAAATTATGATAAATTTAAAGGACAAATGTGATAAAAACTCCTCATCGATATATTAATATGGAATACGATCTGGACCGAGGACATTATTCCTCTCCTTTTGGAAATTTTGAGGGTTGTCCTCTTTTTCATATGCTATTCCGAATAATGCAAAGTTGAATAGATGAATTTGGAGAGAAATATTTTCAATAATTTGTTTAACCACCATAATATCTCATTTATTATTACGCGGTTTTTACTTGAATATTTTAATTCTTAAAGTCGTTTTTCTTTTTTCTTGTACTTTCAGCTGGAAAAAATAATTTTTATAACTTACAGTCACTATTTGAATTCATTTTTCTTTAAGTATTTTAGGGATTGTTCTTTTACATTTTTGAGTTAGGGTAACTTAAGTGATGATTTTGAGTTGAGTTTGAGTTATAACTTAAGTTGAAGTTATAACTTGAGTTTGTATGTAGATGTGCACATTTGAGTTATGATTTGAATTGAAAATCTATTTAAGTTTGTATTTGGGTAGGTCAAAACTTATATTTATATTTAGATAGTATTTTAATAAAAACTCAATAGTGATGAAAAATTTTAATAGGATATATGGGTTGAGTTTTATTCGTCTTTTCGTTATGAATGCATAAAAAAAATCATCTCAATCAGAATTAAAACGAAAAAATTATGATATTTGTAAGAATAGAAAAAATATTATTTATTAACTTGAGTTCGAGTTTATAAACTCAAGTTAAAAGAAAAATTTGAACTCGAATTTAGTCATAAACTCAAGTTCAAACTTAAATTTTATAAAAACATGTGCACTTAAATAAAATTATAATTTGAGTTTAAATTTTGTTTGAGTTTCGTTAAAAAAAAAAACCCCTTAATTAGATAAAAATGTCAAGGTTATTAAAGAAGACTAATTTTTCTTCCTGCATTGACCTTGTTGTAAACTGATGAGTAGTCTTTTGAGCATTGTCGGCCTTTGTCATTACTCACTAGACTACTATCTATGCATGTATTTTCAGCTTGTTCAACCAAGCATTCTATCTTTGTCGAATCGAAACCAACCACCACTGTATTACTGTATTGTGCTCGAACATGGTATTATCAGAATAAAAAAAACTTAAAAAAAATTCCCTAGAAAAACTATGAACTTCAAAAAAAAGATTATACTATAATGAAAAGGAAAAAAAAAATCCACCACTAAACTAGAAAAGATTTATCAGTAAGCACACCCAAATAAATATGGAAAAGAGAATTTTTGAAAGTTAAAAGAAAATTTTGTCATACATATTTTTTTGCCCTCTTTGCTGAAGAGTAAAAGGGATGATCTTAGCAAAAAGGGCTGGTGTTAATAATTTTTTTTTTTTTTTTTTGGTTCTTCGTACTTTTCCAATAGTTCCTTGGTTGTTTAGCCAAAAAAAAAAAAAAAAAACTCAACAGTTTTTGTCTTTTCTCTAATTTTAGATTTTAGATGATCAAAACAGACAAAAATATAACATTCAACGACTTGATATTGACCCTTCATTTTTATATATGTAGTCATAAATATTGATCCTTTGAACACCTAAAAAATATCGATCCTTAAAAAATATCAATCCTTGAATTCTTTTTTTTATTCGACAACATTTCTACTGCTGATCGAACCAAAAAAAAAAAAAAAAGAGAGAAGAAGAAGTCGCAGTTGAATATTCGATGAGCAACTTGGATTACAAAATGCGTTTGTGTATAGGACTGTATACAAGAGCTAGAGTTTCGAAGCTAGGATCTTAAATTACAAAAGACAATGAGAGAAAGAGAGGCAAACAAACAAGATGTTAAAAACTTAAATCCACATTCTACCAACTTCAGTAGCCTTGGAACACCGGTGGAGGCGGCGATGAGTACTGCGATCCGAATGTCGGCGGCAGAACTATGTCATCGAAACTTGGCGGCGGAGGAGAGGGAACCAGTGGTGGCGGAGAGTACACTGGCGGAGGCGGCGGGGAGCATACCGGTGGAGGTGGTGAGTAGACTGGAGGAGGTGGTGAGTGCACCGGTGGCGGAGGAGAATACACCGGAGATGGCGGAGGAGGTGAGTGAACCGGTGGCGGTGGAGAGAAAACCGGCGGAGGGGGAGAATGAACCGGTGGTGGAGGTGATTGGACCGGTGAGTCTGGAGGCGGTGGGGAGTAGTAGTGAACCGGTGGTTGCTCCGTCGTGGGCGGTGGAGGTGATTTGACGTAGTTTGGTGACGGAGATGGTGGATGCTCAGTCTTCGGAGTCGGTGGCGGCGATTTCACGTGGTTTGGTGATGGAGACGGTGGCGATTTCTCGTGTTTTGGTGACGGAGGCGTTGGATTCTCAGTCTCCGGAGAATGTGGCGGCGGTGATTTCACATGTTTTGGCGACGGAGATGGTGGATTCTCAGTCTTTGGAGACTGTGGCGGCGATTTCACGTATTTTGGTGACGGAGGCGATGGATTCTCTGGAGAATGTGGCGGTGATTTCACGTATTTTGGTGACGGTGGCGGTGGCGATTTCTCATATTTCGGTGACGGCGACGGAGAAGGTGGTTGTTCCGTCGGTGGTGGTGACTTCTTAGGTGTAGGTGACGGTACCGGGGAATGTGTTTGCTCGGGCGGTGGGGGCGATTTTGGTGGTCTATGCACATGCACAGGTGACCGGTCGGACTCAGAAGGCGGTGGAGGCGATTTCGCTGATGGCGTGTGTGACGGCGTCTGGGGCGTTGACGGAGCTTGTGGTGGAGGCGAGTAAGAATGTGCCGGTGGCGGTGGGCGAGATGGTCCCCTGACTGGATGTCTGTCAGTAGGATCCGGTGACGGCGGAGTAGCCGAAACGGGTGCCGGTGGGAACTTGGGAGGAGAATGAGGCGGCGGCGACGACGGAGATGGTTGAGATGGCGTCGTCGGTGGAGTAGCACTCGGCGGTGAATGACTCTTAGGTGGGGCTTCAACCGGCGACGGGGATGGAGGCTTTGTTGGTAGTTCGGACTTGGGTGTAGAAGGATCCGGCGACGGGGTTGGCGGCTCGAGTTTCGGCTCCGGGGGAGTAGACTTTTGTGATGGTGATGGTGGTGGTGTTGATGGTGACGTTGGCTTTGATGGACTGTGAGGAACATGATAAGGAGAAGGAGAAGGTTTCGGCTTCGGCTGCGGTGGAGAAGCTCTGCTGTCACCTTCGCCGCCGCAGTTCTTGCTACAATCGACGGGCTTGGTGACCACCGGGAAGCAAGTCCTGGCGGACTTCTGCTTTGGCCGGCCGGACAAACAGTTGCTTTCGTCATCGAAAACGACGTTGCTTTTACTGGACGGCACACAAGACTCATCCTCCTTGATGAAGTAGTTAAACGAGAATGTGAAGTTCGCCAATTTGGGCAATGTGCAAAGACTCTTGGAAACAAACCCCGTCAGCTTGTTATTCGCAATGTCGATTTCCTCCAAGCTCTTCAGACCGGTGAAGCTCTTCGGTAAGGTTCCGACGAAGTCATTGTCGCTGGCGTCGAAAACCATCATGTTCCCGAGCAACCCGATCTCCGGGGGGAAACAACCGCCGAGTTCATTATTGAGGAAGATGATCTCGTTCAAGTTTGGCATGTTGCCAATGGTACGAGGAATGCAACCATTGAACTTGTTGTTGGCGAATGTCACAACCGAGACCGTGGAGTTCCCCAATGAGTCCGGGATTTTGGACTTGAATCTGTTGTTGTTCAAGAAGATTGCGTCAAGTTGTTTGACAAAGAGCTCGGATGGGATTTCTCCTTCAAAATCATTGTACCTAAGATCTAGGTACTTGACGCTAGGCCATTTTAGGACCACCTTAGGGAATGGACCAACAAAGCGGTTGTTACTAACGTCAAATTCATGCATTAGTACAAGCTTCTTGAAGCTCTCTGGGATGATCCCACAAAACCTGTTGGAGTTGAGGTGGAAAAGAGCAACATCCGTCAAGAGGCCTAGCTCCGCGGGGAGGTGACCGGCGATGTCAGCATGGTTGAGGTCAACGCCCGCAACAACGCTGAGCTTGGGGTCATCGAGCGCAGGGGCGCAGAACACGCCATTGTAGGCGCAAACATTGGCTCCAGCCCAATTGCCAGTGAAGTTATAGGGGTCCGAATAGATGGCGTCCTTCAATGCCTGAAGGCCAATGTAGGCCTTCCGGAGCCTCTCGTTGGCGAAGGTTATGACGAGGTCAAATTCATATTCGAAATCGTTGGGAAGGTCGCCATTTTCCGTTGGCATGGTCAGGAGCTGCCGCCGAGCTATGAAGGAAACTTCGGCATCGGTTAAGGCCAAAGAGAAGGTTGGGAATAATGGGGAGAAGAGAAAGCAGCCAAAGAAGGCTGCAATGATGTGATTTGTGAAAGGGTGATGATAGTTCGCCATGGCTGACTACCTTGGGAGGTCCAAGGCTTGCTTATAGGAAGGTGAAATAGAAGGGAAAGCTGTGATAAATGGTTGGTAGAAAAGAGGTTATGGATTGGCCGGTGTTGAGGGAGTGTAGAATTTGGTTCTCTAGTTTTAGCACCGGAATAATTGGCATTGTTTTGCACCTCAAAAGTTCGGGAGTTTTGATGTTTCCATGGAGCCTAAGGCCTCCTATTATTAGGAAACCTTTAACAACTAATTACCTGTAAAAATCTCAAAATATTGAAGTTAATGCTATTAGTTAGTTTTTTTTGTTTTTTTTTTCCCTTTTTACAAAAACAAATCCTATTAATTAGGACGTTTATGTCTGTTTTGTACGAGACTTAATTGTTACAAAAAAAAAAAAAAAATGCTCTAGGTACTGTTGACTTGTAGAAAAGCTGCTGATTCATGTAAACAAATGTTCAAAAGTTGCCCCATAATTTTTCATGCATAAAAACCTTGGCTTGATAAAATGAAGAAATCAAATCAATCCAACGAGCTTCGCTAGATTTACCTAACTCTGTTTTTCCTTTTTTCTTTTATAGAACCCAACTACTTTATTTTTCATGCATAAAAGCCTCAGCTTGTCAAAATGGAGAGATCAATTAACAGTAAATTGGACGTAGTAGAGAGAATAAATTATAAAGCTCTCTCATATCATATATTCTTTATTCACTTGACATGATCATACTTGCTAATCACATCATTTAAATCTATATTTGCTTAGAAACGGGCTGTTAATTGAAATTGACCTTTTAATTTGTAGAGTTTGTTCCATATCGAAAGTGAAAATTTGTTTAGAACAAATTTATTATTCAAAAACCTCTCATTTTTCCCCTGAAGAACACACACACACACACTTTGCCCTCAACCAAATGAACCAATTATAATTTTCTTTTAAACAAAAGGGGTATTTTTTTCCCCCTGTTGAAGAGGCAAAAGAGAGATAATTTTGCATTGGTACTGATTCAATAGTGTATTTTCTCCATCAAAGTAAGCAACTCTCCCTGGTCTTAAAAATTGAAATCCACATGGTTTTCTGAAGAATGAAAATGTCGTCAAGGAGATGCAACAAAGAGAAAAAGAAGTAATTAATCAAGGTCTAAATTTTGCTTTCTTCTGGATTCCACTCTTTTAGTTTTTATCCATTTTCTAGCCGTGCAAATATTGCCATCTATTATGTCCAATACCGTTTGACATGACAAAGAATCAATTTGTCAATTGGCATCATACAAATATAAGATTATACTGTCAATTGAACTAGAATTTATATTGCAAGAACTGGAATTGCGCCTAACTTTCACTTTACTGATTTCAACTCGATATTCATGCATAATAGAGTCATGAATTAGCTAGTTGGAACACAAGACTACAACAATTACTGCGACTTTGTGACCATTCATCAATAAGCACAATAACCTCACGTACTATAATGATCATAGTTCCATCATTCATCAGGAAAAACCAGTCCAACACTCTCAAACTAATTATACAACAAAGTTCTTTACTCTCAACCTCAAGCAAACATTGCACAATTGCATTCAGACCAAAACTCCCACATCTATAAACAATCACATCCTTACTCATTATCTACAATATGTCCTACCTTACAAAATAGCCCTCCATATCAATCTGTTTCATGGTCAGGGGCAGGAGAATACCATGCAGGAAACTTCCCCTTAGCTCTAAGCATTCTAGTATAGGGGGAATCAGGCAGGATACCTTTCTTTTCCTCCTCCAGCTCCGCTTGCGACTTTGGCAATCCATCCGGTATTGGCGCGAGTCGCTCGGTCTTTTCAGAGTTGAGCGGCTCAGTCGAACCGAATCTTTTCTTCCTCCCCTTGTGGATGTCTGCAATCCCGTGTAAGCATCCGATCAAGGACTTCACGCCGCCGGCTTGAAGGATCAACTTCTCCACATCCGATTTCGGTGCTTCTCTCTGAATTGTGTTATTGCAATCAGATGAAAAAAGAATCAGGTACTGCAACTTTTGGAACTTGAATAACTATTGTGTTTCGTATCAAGGAAAGTGTGGAGGGAGAAGGGGGGGAAAAAAAAAAAGAACAGCATAGCATATACTAAAATCAGTAAAATAATCTTATTAAAAAAAGTATGTGTCGTCCAATTTTCTCAGCAACTAAAAGGAAAATTGACGATTTTCCCCTTTTTCTCTAGAAACGAAATTAACTGAGAATGAATCAATATACTGTATGTCACGAGGCCAGAAAAAGCTATTTATTTAACCAAGTAACCAACCACATAAATCAATTCTTTTTACTGACTTTCATTAATCATCAAAAAGCAATAGAAATTAAATATGAGAAAAAAAGAACTTCATATATTTTTTGTTCGTTTCCTTTTATTTTCTCAGCGTCCAAACAGAAAGAACTCACCTCCAGATCTTTGAGCTCAAAATACGCTCTCCAGCAGCTATACGATTTGTCTCCTTCAAGCGTCGAACAGTAATCTAGCCAAAAAAATCATTAATCAAAATCAGAAATCGACCAAATCACAGAATCGAAATCACTATTTCAAGCCACAAATATCCGAAATATATAAAACTACAACAACTCATAGTCCCAACCAAACAAAATCCCCAAAACAAAACAAATCAAACTATACCGGCGAGTTCGTTCTCGGATTTCTCGATCAAAGGCGGGTCTTTGACGGCCCGTTCGAACCTGGTTCGGCTAAAAGGCTCGAGCTTCGGAATATCAGCGTCGCTTCTCGAAGAAGAAGAAGAAGAACACACAGTCGAAGCGAACCTCGTCGCCGGCGATGACGATCGCCGTGGCCAATGAAGATCCTTGGGTTCCAGAAGCAACGGGGACGAGCAAGAACGAAGCAAGGTAGACTTTATCATCGTGTCCAAAGACACCCAAATCTGTGTTCAGTTACTTTTCAAAGAATTTGGATAACGATTATATTTTGATTGTCGAGCGAGGGAATAGAATTATATATCAGGACGGATTTGAGTTCAGAATTTAAATTTTATTATAATAAAATTATATTTATTTTATTGATTTAAATTTTAAATTTAAATTTTATTATAATAAAATATTTTTTTATAAAATTATATCTTAATTTAAATTAAAAATTTAAATTAATAAATGAGTTTTAAAATTTTTTTACATAAAATTATTTTTTAATTTAAATTAAAAACTTAAATAAATAAATTAAACTAAAGAACTTATATATTATTAAAATATTCGGTGGAATTATTAATCACCGCGCTAAATGGATAAGGATTAGATTTTTTTTTGTTTATAAGATATTTTTTTGAGTTGATTGTTGTGTTAGGGTTACGCTGGTTTGTAGTGGAGAAAAATGACAGACGAATTTTGGCCGTTTATCGGTTTTTAACTGCGATGAGGAGCGCCAGATGTGATCTTACGTGGAAGAAGTTGCAGCTAGTTGTAGGGCATTGGGTACGCTTTAGGTGGAAAGTTCTGGTCATGTGGGACCCGAGGATTTTTTGGTCGACGGATTATAGCGAGCGAATGCGACGCGGCTCTTCGTTCGGAGCAGCTAAAACCAGGAGAACTTATCCGGTGTGTTTTTATTTTTATTTTTTAAATTTTTGTCATTGGTTTTGTGAATTTCGGTGGGTAAAAGAAAACATTTTAGGGTCCCTTCCTAATAAGAGTGTAAATTTCTAATGGTTGAATTTAACTTAAAATTACATCAAAATAAAAAATCATATGGCATATATGACTCCGTTTAATAAATAAGTTTGAAGTAAATAAATTTAAAATATGACCATTTTAATCTTTTTAAGTTTGAATTTATAAAAAACTCATATACCAAATATATTCTTAAAAAATAATTTAAATTTCAGTTTAAACCATTTAAAAACGAGTACAAGTGTAAACTCAAGATTCATAATAAGATTTTTTTTTAAATATCAAATTAATAAGATTTTTTTTGTTTAAAACATCAAATTAATAATTTGAACCAAACTAAAAATCTGTTAAATATTGATTTGAACCAACTTTTAAGTTCAAACCACTTGAACTAGTTTAGCATATAGTATATAGATTTAGAGTTATATCTCAACTCGAATTAAAAATTCAAATCAGCGAACTAAACAGACCCTAAATAACTTAAAATAAAAACTAGAGGTAGTCTAATTTTCAAGGATTATTATCACTAGTGTCTCTAACATTTCCAATTTGTCCCTTAAACTTTAAAAACTCACATTGTCCCCTTATTTGTTTGCTTTTAACAGATATCAAACTGAAAGACTATGTGACTGCATTATTCTCTTTTTTATTAATTCTAACATAAATTCTAACAAAATAAGTTAAGTGAACAATTTAAAATTTAGAAGACAATGTGAAAGTTTCTAAAATTTAGATAAACCGAAAATGACAACAAAATTCAAGAGACGCCGATGATAATAATATATTTTTCAAAATCTATCGTAAAAGTCTCCATATTTTTAATATCGAATTGTTTTCATTTTTGACATTTGTGTCCATGTTTCCATATAATTATTTTGAAAACGGGAATCAACATTAATAACGACGGTTCTGTTCACACATTCCTTTTATTCTCTGCACACTTTTTTACTGTAAATTTTCTTATGATAAAAGACCCTCATATATGATACGAGCCCCGCCAACAATGTGACGAAACTCGTAGCCAAATATGGGATACGATTCAAGATCTTCAAGAATTGATAGAAACCGCGACCCGTTGCTTAGAAAAGCAAGAACCTTGGTATGGTGAAGATGCCACAAACAAGTATGAAAAATCCGTTTGATAAGTCGGGTTGAACGCCACAAGGAAAACCTTGATAAGTTCGGAATAGTTCTTCAAGAACTCAAGAAAAATATCTCACAAAGTGAATAAACATAAAAACTTTTATTAATTTTCGTTTTTCAGCCTTAAATAGCCGAGTATAAGCTGAAAAATGTTTAAAAATTGAAAAGTCATATCCTATCCTTAATGAGATAGAAGCCTAAAATAAGATAAACTTAAAAACAAGATAAAATGCGCCTAAAGCTAATCCCTTAGGAAGGAATCCGAATTTAAATCCAACTCCTTCCCTTTTAAACGCCTAAGATGGAATTTAAATGTTTAAATTGAAACTTAAACCTAAAAAGATAGAATTATGATAAAATCAACTCTTTATCCGCAATTTGACTTGGTCCCTTGCTGGAAATTGCGCCTAAGTCTTTTGGAATATGCAAGTTGGCCATGCAATGGCTTGATGGACGTTTAAGGTTGATTGTCTTTTTTTCGGATTGACTTTGATGGCTATGTTCTCATCAATATACAACGACAAAAAAATACAATTATAACATATTTAATTATGTTAATTATATAGTTTTTATCTCTCTTCACACACCCCACATATTATATTCATCCTATATTACAAACTATTGCTATTTTAAAATTTATAAAAAAAATTCTATAATTTTCGCCTTCAATGACTATTATAAAAAGTTGCATTGAGATAATGTTAAAAATTTCTTTGCTATTGGTTTATGAGTATTTTAATTTATCTTTATTTTATGTTTATATTTTTTTACTATTTTTTTATAAAGTTGGATTATTTTTTTCCTGTTTCATCTTCTATTTGTTTTTTATTTTTCTTTTGAAAAAAAAAGCTTCACTCCCAAAACTTGAAAAAAAATGAAAAGATAGAGAAATAATACTATTTAAATAACAAATTAAAATAAAATAGTGGGTGTATAAAAAAAATTAAAGTGGACAATGATTAAATTTTTTTTAAAATAGTTAAGGGTAATATTGGAAGGATATGAATGTGTAAAAAGTAGATTTAGTTCTTATAAAATTATGCGGGTGTGTGTTTATAAAAAAGTGTAAAGAGTAAAAAAAAAAAAAAAGAGGTGTAAATAGAACTACTATATCAAGAAACGTGATCAATTTTTAATAGGATTCTAAAAAAATTGCAGTGCGTAAAATCAGAAATGTAATATACATTTTATAAGTAAATGATTATAGCCGTTTTGTTTTGTTAGAGAAGTGATTAAAGCATACATACCCGTTTATGTATCCTATAAAACAAACAACAATAAAAGTATTGATAGTGCTCGAAATAAATGGAAAATTATACCCTTTATTTAGTGGTCATTTACAACTCACTTAATTATTAAATCAAATTTTCCGTTAAAAAAAGGAAGAAACGTCTGAGGTAAAAGTAAAATCATTAGTAGTGCTTGAAATAAGTGGAGAATTTGTTCGTTGATATTCTCTTGTAAATAGGGTTATTTTTGTGTGCACAATAGCCGAAAAACTTTTTATTTCAAGGTGAGAACTAAGTTATATCCAGAACATAATTTTTGACTTGTTACCTTTTTTTTTTATGAGACAAAATAACTATAAGAAATAGATATAATTAATTAGAAGTTTTAATAATATAACAACTATTTATGAAATTAATTAAGTAAATAACATATTTTAAAACTATTTATAGAAAATATCAATTTACTGTGTGTCTTTGTCTTATTTACGATTGGTAAAATAATTTATATGGTAAAAAAAAACTTTATGTACAGAAAAAATATCTTTTTACCAATCGAAAAAGAAAATTTATGTAAAAAAAATCTTTTTACTAGTCGTAAATGAAACATTTACACGTTATTTACTTTAAATAGTTTTAAAATCTATTATTTGTTTAATTTAATTTTATAAATAAGCTATTTATTACTTTCTTTCTAATAATTTTGGGTCTTAATTTATTAACATTCTCTAAAAAAAAAATACTGTTAGAACATGTTTGGTACACTGTATAAGTATTATGTATTATATTATTTAATAATAATCAATGTTTGTTGACATTTATACATTATATAATTTAATACGAAATTCAAAATTAATACAATACGAAATGTAATATCTAATATGGGTACTATACCGTATTATGTAATTTAATATAATACGAGTACTATACTGTATTATGTAATTTAACTTAAAATATCATATTAAAAATATATAAAATATTTGATAAATATCAAGGCCCGGGGTTGGATTTTGGGACCGACGTTGGGGTCAAGTTTTGGGACTAGAGTGACGTTGGATTTATATTTTTTAAAAAATTATATTTTGACCCCTAAACTTTTCAAAAATGATATTTTAACCCCGTATATTTTAAAAAAAATTATGTTTTGACCCCTCATTTTAAAAAAAATATATTTTAACCCCTCAACTTTCTCAAAATTATATTTTTCACCCCTTATTTTTTAAAAAATTACAATTTTACCCCTTTTTAAAATTTTTTTTGCAAAAAGACATAATGTAGCAACTTCACTTTCTCTCTTGCTTCCTCCAAATGTAGGGTTCATGTCAAGATTAGAGTCGAATTAGGTTATGATTATTCTTAAATTTTATCTTATTACAAATTAATACGTAAATAGATTAAAATGATAAAAATAGTATAATATTTAATAATAACACTAACCAAATACCATATTGTATAAAATTTTTACTTTATGATATAATACAATATAATATAACACGGTACACGAGACATGTCCTTAATAATCCTGTAGGTACTGAAACCATATTATCTAGTGGGGCCTTCACCGATTGGCGATTGCCTATTTGGCCTAGAGGGAGAGCCAGTATGGCGAATAGGCAATCACAGCACTATAAGGGCACTTAGGTATGTTCCCTTGTAGCGACTCGTCCCGTGCAAGGGAGGCTCGCCATGGCAATCTCAAATCATTCACACCAACGAGGCAATAAGCCCAATTGAAATCCCTCTACACGAAATTAAACAAAATAAAAAATGTTCACATGGTTTCCTCAAACTGCCAACCCGACCATTTTGTGGTTCTTATGCTGGACAAAATCATTAGTTTGCCTAATAACTCCAACATGTCCAGGTTGGGCACGTTCCAAACTATGTGTACATGATAATTTATTTTATTTGCTATAAAAACTGAAAAGACGTGTATATGATAAGGACATGTTTTTTGACCAATAATAAATTCTTTTTCTTCGCTAGAAGAACCTCAAAATTTATTAGATCCTCTTCAACGGTGTCCAACCCGCCTGCCTGTAGATATGCAAAGTTATTAGATATGCAAAGTTATTGCTTACTATCTATGCGAAAAAGAAGTGTAATAACAGCAAAAGAAAATCAATAAGAGCAATGCTAAAGTAATAAAATTATAAGATTAAATTATTATAAAAAACAAAAAAGGAATAAGAGCAATGCTAAAGAAATAAAATTATAAAATTAATATGATATTGTGCTAGTTTAAATCATAAATCATGTTTTTACTATAATGTTTTATCTAATAAAAATTTTAAATTTAATTTTTTCTATTATAGCGTTTTTTTCACACATGCATACTTTTTAACTTAAATTTTCAAGCCAAACGAACAACTAAATATGTAAAATTTAACTTCATTATCGTGATAGTAAACATAGCCTCGTGGTTACAACCGCCGAGCAAAGTTAACTATTTATTAGCCCCATGCCAATTTTCCATTAAATATTGATGGAAGTTATAAGTTTTTATTTAATTGTAAATATTTGAAGAGTTTGGAGTTTGGAGAGTATTTGTGAGAAAAATAATGCTAGGACACCAATTTTAATCCTAATTCTTGTATCAATTCGTGATTTTTTTTCCTTTTATTAATAGTTGTTTAAAAGATTGACATATCAATTAATAATAAGATATTACACATACTAATTAAAGAATGACAACTAAATAATAGATATAAGAGTTGGTATATTTAGGACATGTTCTTTTGGAGTATGACTTGAGTGTAGTTTTTGAGTTGAATTTGAGTTATAACTTGAGTTGAAGTTGTAACTTGAGTCTGTGTTTGGTTGTGTACATTTGAGTTATGGTTTGAGATAAGAATCTTGTTTTTTGAGTTTGTGTTTGAGTGAGTCAAAACTTAAATTTATATTTAAATAGTATTTTAATAAAAACTCAATGGTGATGAAAAATTTTAATAGGGTATATGGATGGAGTTTTATTCATCTTTTCGTTGTCTATGCATAGAAAAAAAATCATCTCAATCAGGATTAAAACGAAAAAGTTATAGCATTTTTAAGAATAGAAAAAATATTGTTCATTAATTTGAGTTCGAGTTTCTGAACTCGAGTTGAAGGGGACCATTGAACTCGAGTTTTAGTCCCAAACTCGAGTTCAAACTTAAAAGAACATGAACTTAAATAAAGTTAGAACTCGAGTTGTATTTTTTTTGAGTTTTTTGAGCAGCCGAACACACCCTTAGTATTATTATTGAGAAAAATTTATGATAAGACATGCATTTTTATTCTATAGATAGACATTGTATTGTTTTTAACTGTTTGATTAGTTTTTTAACAATCATATATGTTCATACTCCATATCATACCATTAAAGAACTAATTTAACAATTAAAACATTAATTTCTACCGTTAGAGCACATAGCTTTCTTCACTATAAATGCACCCGAGTATCAAAATTTAAAGAACAAGAAACAAGTTTTTATCTACTAATAACGCCTATTATCATTATTACATTATGACACAAATATTGCATTTCATTTTATTTGGTTGGTTAAGTAAAAATACAAAAAAAAAAAAAACACTAAGGTATTGATTTAGAGCCCGTTTAGTTGGAGGATTCGTTCTCTGATTTGAATCATGGTTCATGGTTTGTTACAATATTTTTTCTCACAAAAAACACACGTAAATCGAAAATGATTATAATCTCATGGTTCTAATCCATGAACCAAACGGGCTCTAATGATTCAAATCATATTACTACATTATTTTCTCTTAAAAAAATTTAAATTTAAATTTTTTATTCCAGTATTTTTTTTACATACATAGCATAACTCATTGTGTAGGCCCCGTTAATTTCACCGATTTGAGTTTTATTACAGTAAAAAACTATCAGAAATAGTCACATCTAACTTTTTTGCTACAGTAAAAAATTCTCATATAAAATCACATATAGACTCGAATTAGAAACTCGAATCAGCAAACTAAACAGACCCTAAGGTCTCGTTTATTTCACCGATTTGAGTTTTTAGTTTTAAGTTTTTACAGTAAAAAACTCTCAAAAAATGTCATATCTAATTTTTTTATGTTACAATAAAAAATTCTAAAAAAATATTATATTTCAATTTAAATTAAAAATTTAAATTCACAAAATAAACGAGGCATAAATGAACACACTAATAAAACAAAAACGAAAACGATTAATCCAACTGCAACTTAAAACTTCCAAAAAAAAAAATTTAAAAGTTAAAACGCTGGCAGTACCACTTGTTGATTAGGAAATGGACAAAATTCATTTTTTTCAATATATGATAATTAAAAAAAACTGACGTGGCAATGAAATAAGTGCGAGCCGTAAAACTGTAAGGAGCACAAGTCCGCAGGTGCAAATATTTTAGGAGCCAGCGTTAAAGTTCTAACGATACGATTTTACGTTTTCCTTTCCCACGTATTCTCCATCAGAACCAGAACTTATTTTTTAATATTAAAAACAAAAAGAAAAACAATTACAAGCTAAAAAGCTCAAACGACAGCGGAGAAAAAAACAATTTTCAGATACAAAACAAGAATCTCTTCTCTTCTTTTCTCGGTGTTGATCGTTTGGGTTGCCGAGATTTCTTGCTACGACGCCGTTTCGGCGATTCGGAAAAACCCTAGGAGGGGAATACCTCGGCAATTTTGCAAGCTTGACGGTGCTTTTCATGCCGGCGTTTCTCATACAGCCTGGATTGACCCGGAATTCGATTCTCCCATAAGTTTCTGGGCCCGGGAATTTGTTTCCGTTGGTGAATTTTTGTGGAGAAAATGAAGGCCATGGAGACGGTAAAGGATCTGATCGAGGAGGCGAAGCTTCGAACGGTGTGGTGGGCTCTGTGCATCTTCGCCGTCTCGTATTTTCTGTCTCGTAAACACTTTTCTATTCGCAAACTCGTTCTCGTATTTCTCGTTTGTTGTTCGTTTTCTGGTTTTTTTTTTTTTTTTTTTTTTTGGGGAATTCGATAACATTTTTTTTTTTTTTTTTGGGAACTTGATATGGCAATAAGACGAGTGCTTTCTATTTTAGTAGTAAATTGAGATTTACGTCTTGTTCCTGAAAGCTATTTCTACCTAAATGTTGATTAGTCTCCGCGCAAAAGGATTTTTTTTTTAATTCAGGTCCTAAATGGTTAGAGGCAGAATTTTTGAATTATTTGAGCTTGTTTGAAAGTTCTCTAGTTTGTAAATACTTATAATGATGTTTCTCTGTCCTGTTGGTTTGGATTTGCGGAAAATGTGGTTTGTCAGTTTCACATTCCTTAGTGTTTTTCTGTTAATGTGGTACCCTTTTGGCTCTAATACAAGTATTCTCATTACAGATACTAGTAAATCAATGTGGATGAATCTGCCCATGTCAATTCTTTTGGTTTGTGGTATGCGAATTCTTTTTAATGAGGTGGAGTTTCGTCGGAAAGTTAAGCCGGTTCGTCCACAAACTTATTTATCTCACTTGGAGAAGAAACAGTTGTCCGTAAATGATTCACGCCTTTCTACCGCGCCTAACCTGCAAAAATGGAAAAGGAAAATCGATTCTCCAATTGTGGAGGCAGCAATTGACGACTTCATTGACAAGATTTTGAAGGATTTTGTGGTAGATTTGTGGTATGGAGATATAACACCGGACAAGGAGTTTCCTGAGCAAAAACGCGCAATAATCATGGATGCTATTGGCGAAGTATCGGGAAGGATAAAAGAGATAAACCTTGTTGACTTGTTAACACGGTACTTCGTTTTCCTTTTTGAAAAATAATTTGCAAGTGTTTAAGACCCTTTTATTATCAAATTTGTAACACTTAATGATTGTCTGATGCTTCAGGGATATAATTGATTTAGTAGGGGATCATCTGGACCTATTTAGAAGAAACCAAGCTGCCATAGGTGTCGATGTAATGGGAACATTATCTTCAGAGGAGAGGGATGAGAGGTTAAAACACCATCTAATGGCTTCTAAGGAGCTTCATCCTGCATTGGTATCACCTGAGAGTGAGTACAAGGTGTGGGTGGAGCGTTCCATTGGAAATACATTTTCTTTTTGTTTTTTGTTTCTGTTACTTGTACTCTCCTTAATGCTGCATGTCTATTTCTAGGTTCTTCAGCGACTGATGGGTGGAGTGTTGACTTTGGTGCTAAGACCACGAGAAGCTCACTGTCCTGTGGTCCGATCTGTTGCAAGAGAACTTTTGACATGTTTGGTAATGCAACCTGTTATGAATTTCGCAAGCCCTGGGTATGTTCTTGGATGTTTCATTTTTTTGGTTTGTTTTATCCTTCTTCTTGCTTCTTTACTTGCTAAGAGAGTATTCAGTTCTGCAGGAGGAACTTTGTATATGACCATAAAAAGGCATATTATGCTATCTTGTCTTTTGCTGGATAAATAGTCAATTGTGGATATAGACGGTGAAAAGTTGGCATTACCATTGTTCATTCATGTGTGTTATGACTTATGAGTAGTTGCAACTTTTAAAACATAATGGGCTTGTTTGGTTCAACAACTAAAACTGTGGAGATTTGAACCTTTTTGGTTAGAACTCTAAGAATCTAAACTGTGGTGATTCAAGCTGTGATCCGAACTGTTATTTAGATATGCAAATTGAAGCAGAATAGAATTGGAATTTTCTGATGATTCATTAGAAACAATTAGGTACATATATATACACAAGGATCCGTTGAGATTGATCCTGATTTCTAGGAGCTAAAAATCTGATACTAACGGAAAATCACTTCCGGCTATATACAATAGAATAATATCTTCTAGTAACTATAGATCCACAAAATCAGGAAACTAACTAATGCCCTATACGGCTAGTTTGAATTCCTACACTCCCCCTCAAACTAGATGGTATATACTCATTAAGCCAAGTTTAGAACTTAGCTCAAGAAAGTTTGGACGAAAGAGTGCCTTTGTGAGGATGTCCGCTGCTTGATGCCTAGATGGTACATGTTTTAGTGATACAACATTGCTCTCTATCTTCTCGCTGATGAAGTGTCTGTCGATCTCAACATGCTTCGTTCTATCATGATGGATAGGATTTTTGGCAATAGCTATAGCTGATTGGTTGTCGTACATCATATCTATAGGACCTGAAATGCCAACTTTAAGTTCATCGAGCAGCCGTTTTAACCAGATTCCTTCACAAATACCTTGAGCCAAGGCTTGAAATTCTGCCTCAGCACTACTGCGTGCCACCACCTGCTGTTTCTTACTTTGCCATGTCACCAGATTTCCCCATACATAGGAGCAATACCCTGAGGTTGATTTTCGGTCAATGGGGGATCCAGCCCAATCTGCATCTGTGTAAACCTCTAGGGAGTGATTAAGGGTCTTTTTGAACATGAGTCCTTTTCCGGGATCCCTTTTGAGGTATCTAAGAATCCGGTCCACTACCTCCATGTGTGTGACCGAAGGATTGCTTAGGAACTGACTAACACGGCTCACTGCAAAGCTTATATCTGGACGTGTATGAGTCAAGTAGATCAGCTTGCCGACTAGGCGTTGATATTGTCCTTTATCTACCGCCATCTCTTCAGTTAGAGGCATCAACTTCGTGTTAGGATCCATCGGCGTGTTCACCGGCCTACACCCACTCATACCGGTTTCCTTTAAGAGGTCCAATACATACTTTCGCTGGGAAACTGAAATTCCAGCCTTTGACCTAGCCACTTCCATTCCCAAAAAATACCTTAGATGACCCAGGTCCTTGATTTCAAACTCTTTGGACAACAGAAGCTTAAGTCTCCTTATTTCCTCTTCATGATTTCCAGTTAGAACTATATCATCCACATACACTATTAGCACATTAATCTTACCATTGGTGAAGTGTTTGAAAAATAGAGTGTGATCGGCTTGTGACTGTAAGTAGCCATCTTGTTTTAGTACCCTTGTGAATTTGTCGAACCATGCTCGAGGTGATTGCTTGAGCCTGTATAGTGACTTTCGTAGCCTACAAACTTTGCCTCGCATATGATCGGTTTCGAACCCAGGAGGTATATCCATATATACTTCTTCGACTAAGTCACCATTCAAAAAGGCATTCTTCACATCAAGTTGGATTAAGGGCCAATCTTGGTTCACGGCAATGGATAACAAAACTCGCACTGTATTGAGCTTGGCTACAGGCGCAAATGCCTCTTGATAGTCAATTCCGTACAATTGAGTGTAGCCCTTGGCTACCAAACGGGCTTTGAATCGTTCAATGCTTCCATCAGCTTTTTGCTTCATTAAGAAAATCCACTTGCACCCAACTGTTCGCTTCCCCGGTGGTAGAGTTGTTAGGGTCCATGTGCCGTTTTTTTCAAGAGCTTGAAATTCTTCTAGAGTGGCAGCTCTCCATTCTGGAACCTTTAATGCATCATGAACTGTTCCGGGAATCTGGATGTTGTCTAGAGTAGTCACAAATGCCCTGAATCTCTGTGACAATTTGGAGTATGTCATATAGTTGCGGATGTGATGTTGTGTACATGAGCGAACTCCCTTTCTCTGAGCAATCGGTAGGTCTGAGTCTGGGTCATATCCTGTCACTTTCTCAACACTATATTCTGTGTTAGATTCAGCCTTACCCTGCGTTATTTCTGGATTTCTTTTTGCTGATTTTGAACATGCTGTTGAAGTTGTTGTCTCCTAGTATAGACTCTTATTGCCTCATTAGGAAGGAGATGCTTTGGGTACATTACTGACTCATGGGACCCATGGGATGGTGACTCAACAGTGTTTGGAGAGCTCAGTGAAGTCTGTGGAGTAGAAGATGATGGAGGTTGCGGGTTAGGTAAAGTAGGGGCAGAATTGCATGGAGTTGGACTTGTTACTGGGTTAATGAGAGAAGTCTAGTCCCAATTTTGTGATTCATGTGTGCTTGTCTCCCCCTGAATTACAGAATTGGGATAGAAGGGCTTATCTTCAAAGAATGTGATATCCATGGTATGATAGACCTTTTTGGTGATAGGTGAAAAACATTTATATCCCTTTTTGTTTGGTGAGTATCCAATGAAGATGCATTTGAGTGCTCTTTCATCCAGTTTGCCCCGTCTGTGAGGGTAGATATGAATAAATGTTGTGCATCCGAATATTCTAAGGGGAATTTGAGAGAATAAATGTGAGTGTGGATAGGAGTCAAGAAAAGTGTTCACTGGAGAATACGTGAGGGCATCCTATTGATGAGATAGGTGGCTGTAAGAATAGCCTCACCCCATAATTTCTTAGGTATATTAGACTGGAAGAGTAATGAACGAGCAACTTCAAGCACATGATGATTTTTTCGTTCTGCCACACCATTCTGTTGGGGTGTGTCCACACATGAGCTTTGATGAACAATGCCATATGATTGGAGATAAGGTCTAAGAACGGAGTTGAAAAAATCACGAGCATTGTCAGTTTTGAGGACTTGAATGGTGGCCTGAAATTGAGTGCGAATCATGACATGAAAATTTTTGAAGATTTGGCTGGTTTCAGATTTATCTTTCATGAGGAAAGTCCAGCTTAACCGGGTATGATCATCAACTAGCAATAGGAACCACCGAGCTCCAGAAATATTGGGAATTCTGGGTGGTCCCCAGATATCCCCATGGATAAGGGAAAACGGGTGAGTTGGTGTGTATGGTCGTGGGATATATGTACTTCGGGGGTGCTTTGATAGTTGGCAAACATCACATTGAAATAACTTGGCATCTTTATTAATGAACAATGATGGAAATAAGCATTTCAAATACAAGAAATTTGGATGACCTAGACGGTAGTGCCACAACATTATTGCACTGTTTTTATTGGACTGACTTATTGACTCATGACTCTGAATGGACCAACACTGAGGTTTGACCCTATTCTTATTATGACTCTGATCTGGGGCAGAAGAGGTGTCTACTTCGAGGAGATATAAGCCTGCGCAAAGTTCAGCATTGCCAATCGTCTTCTCCGAACCCAAATCCTGAAAAACACAAGATTTGGCAAAAAATTTAGTCTCACAGTTAAGATCACGGTTTAGTTTGCTGACCGAGAGTAGGTTACAATCAAGGTCAGGTACAAATAACACTGAATGTAGAGTAATATTGCTCGAGAGATATATGGTTCCCATTCCACCAACTCTCGAGCGTGAACAATTGGCAATACGCACTGTTTGATAACCCGGACATGGAGTATAAGTTGAGAAAAGTGATCTATCACCTGTCATGTGATCTGATGCGCCTGAATCTACTATCCAAGAGGTTGAGGGTGACTGGGCAACATGAAGGGCCTGATTTCCACTATTGTTCACAGACCCGCTCCCTGCGCCTGTTGCCACCGAGCCGGCTGGCAGGTTTGCTTTGCTGATCAGATGCTGAAGAAGTTCCAGCTGGTCCTTTGTGAAGGCGACTTGGTTCTGGGATTTCCCCGACTCTCACGGTCACCAGTAGCCCTATTTGGCTTCCAGTCTGGTGGCTTTCCATGTAACTTCCAGCAGGTTTCTTTGACATGGCCGGTCTTCTTACAATGGTCGCACTAGGGGCGTCCCCTCCGTGGCCGATTGTCGCCAGGAGTCTGAGATGTTCCGCGAGCAGCACAGGCGGCTGGTTCAACCATGGACGGGTGGTCTCTGGCAGCGGCAAGGGCTGAGCCATCAGTGGAAGTGGGTGTGTTCGAATGTCCCATCATGACTCGTTTGCGGCTTTCCTCTCGACGTACCTCGAAAAAGGCTTCCCGAAGACTGGGCAAGGGCTTGGTTCTGAGTATTCGACCTCGCACCTCATCAAGAGACTTATCAAGACCCATCAGGAATTTGAAGATGCGTTTTGTCTCTACTATTCTTTTGAAATAGGTTCGGTCATCAGGGCACTTCCATTCATGAGATTCAAAGAGGTCCAATTGTTGCCAATACCTCGTCAGAGTGGTGAAGATGGTGGTGACTGTATTTTCTCCTTGTCGCAGGTCATGTAGGATACTCTCCACATGGAAGAGTTCTGCAGTGTTTTCACTGCTGGAGAACGTATCACGAGCTGCGTCCCATATTTCTTGGGCTGAAGTGTAAAGGAGGAAGTTTTCTCCTATTTCAGTAGTCATTGAACTAATTAACCAAGACATAGCTAGGTTGTTTTCTGCCCTCCAAGTTTTGAATTTAGAGTCACTAGAATCTGGTTGGACAGCCACACCTCTAAGATAATCATCACGGCCTCGTCCACTGATAAACATCATCATGGAGTGAGACCATTGGAGATAGTTGTGGCCATTGAGTTTGTGGTTGATGATAGGGGTCATACTGTTTTCGGGAGTGATATGAGGATTGATAGGAGTATTGAGAGATGAAGTGGTAGATGAAGATGAGTCCCTGGAAGTCTGCTTAGAGTCGGCCATGCTGGACGAGATTTCCGAGAGAGAAAGAGAGTAGGGGCTCGATTTTCACAGAGGTGAAAATAATGGGAACAGAGGAAGGTCTAGGGCCGGCGGTCAGAGAGATGAACAAGGGCTAGGGCCGGCGGCCAGAGAGATGGAAACTAGGGTTCAGAAACCTGTGGCTTTGATACCATGAAGCAGAATAGAATTGGAATTTTCTGATGATTCATTAGAAACAATTAGGTACATATATATACACAAGGATCCGTTGAGATTGATCCTGATTTCTAGGAGCTAAAAATCTGATACTAACGGAAAATCACTTCCATCTATATACAATAGAATAATATCTTCTAGTAACTATAGATCCACAAAATCAGGAAACTAACTAATGCCCTATACGGCTAGTTTGAATTCCTACACAAATAAATTGTAATTTGAATTGGGAATAAAATCCGAATTGTGTTTGGATAAAGTGTTGAAAATTATCATTAGAGTTTTGTAACAAATCTTATAAAACCTCATTATAAATGACATTAAAAATATGCAATATGGGTGGGGATTTGTTCATCTTCATTATGAACACATTAAAAAAATAATCTTAATCGGAATTAAAACGAAGAAGTTTTAACATTTTTACGATTGAAATTGAGGAGAGAGAAAAAGTAGAATCTTGAACTATTGGACTGTTGACAACAATTCAGCTTGGTAGAATTTAAGGGGGGAGGTGAATTCTGAAATCAATAATTTGAGCTGTCCTTGAACCATTGTTAATTGTTTGAATTGTCTTTGAATTTTCCTCTCCCAAACATCAGTTTGAATCCTGAACTAATGTTTAAATCCTAAACAACAGTTTGAGTTGTTGAAACAAACAGAGACAACAATTATTCTTTTAAGTCTTCTTTTGTTTTAACTGCAAAACTGCTATATGAATTTTATTTATGCGTTTTGTCATTTCTCCTTCGTTAGCTTGTAAACCATCTGATTTTTAATTCTGTTGTTTCAGGTATATCAATGAGCTGATTGAATATGTTTGGCTTGCATATCAACATGATAGCGTTGAGGACTTGGGTGGTGATCAGTCAACTGCAGGGGCTGTACATGATCATGGTTCAGAATCAAAGAAGAATTCGCCCTTAAATAAGGGGACTGATACCGCATTATCTAAAATTCAGACAGAAGTGTCCTCAGACCACAACACATTGCAGGAAGAGCCTTTGCACTCACGTCCTGCTGATTGGGCACGAAAACTGGAGGCAGCAACCCAAAGAAGAACCGAAGTTCTTGCTCCTGAAAATCTCGAAAACATGTGGACAAAAGGAAGGAATTATAAAAAGAAAGAGAACAAGAGTATAATAACAGGAGTTCAGGAACCTGTAGAGAAGGGTTCTGTTTTAAATACTGCTGTTCTTACTAAACCTCTTCGAAAAGAAATGTCAGCCGACAGACTGGTTGTTTCTACAGTAAAAGAAGAGGGACCTCTTTTAAGGATAACTTGGGGATCAAGCTCCGATAGTCAGTTAAGAGATGGGAACAGAAATGAGACACAGTTCTCCCATGATACTAACAAGGAATTAGTTATCAAGGGAGGAGATGTTGTTGATGAATCGGAAGGTAATTTCAATGTTCCTCATAATGGGAACAAAATTCTGCTTAAGAGATCCAACAGCACATCTGCTTTAAAAGTTGAACCTGATGCAAAAAAGGCAATTACTGAGGGTGGAGGGCCCATCATCTCCGAGTTTTATAGCCCTGATTTTGGCAGACGTAGGGAACAATATATTGGTAAGAGTGCTTCAGATATGGTAGTTGCTAGAGTGGGACAACATCTTCCCAAGCTTAGGTGCCGGGTGAGCACTTTTCTGGTTAAACTGTGATGATTTATAAAGCTCTTCAAAATAATGAAATAAGAGAATTCTTAGGAACACGTGGTTTCATACAAGTTTTGGCATATTTCTGAATCTATGTTGTTCATTGTCTACATGTATCTACAGGTAATGGGGGCATATTTTGAGAAACTTGGTTCGAAGTCTTTTGCAGTTTATTCAATTGGAGTGACAGATGCCGAAAACAGAACTTGGTTTGTGAAAAGAAGGTAATTCATTATTTTGTAAAAATTCTGTATTTTTGCTTCATCTTTATTTTATTTTGAGAGAAGTTCAGTCAATTAGATTATCTCAAATAATTAAGTTGGGATTAAGGCTTGTTGTTGTTGTTAATTTTTCTTCAAGGGGTAATTAATGCCAGCATTCTCACACAGCCAAATAATACTAGAGAATAAATACTCAATGAGACTTTCAAGATATTATAAAGTAATTTTTAACTTTTGAATCATTCATTACAGCACATTTTAGGAGTTGGTCGCTGAATTAATCTCCAAGTCCATTCAAGATACAAATGGGTAAAAAAAAGATTCCCTTTCAATGAGAAGAGATGAGAGATAAGGAATTGAAGAAAATTGCGATTATTATTTACCGAAATATGGGAAGCAAAGAAGTTGTGTATTTATTTAAAAATGAATTTCAATAGTAGGACTGATTTCTCCGTCAAAAAATTTGTACTATTTGTATTCTGTCTCCCTCTATTGGTAAAGGTTCTCAAGTCTCCAGATCAGCATATCATGATATCTTGGATTTTTTCTTTTTGGTCTGCAGATACAGAAATTTTGAGCGATTACATCGGTACCTTAAGGAATTTCCTAATTATACATTACATTTGCCCCCCAAAAGAATATTCTCTTCAAGCACAGAAGACGCTTTTGTTCATCAACGATGCATTCAGCTTGACAAATATCTGCAAGTATGATATTGATTCTAAAACGAACTTATGCTACATCTCTTTTCCTGTTGCTTATCTACGCTGTGTTTTCCCAGGACCTCTTGTCGATAGCCAATGTTGCTGAACAACACGAAGTGTGGGATTTCCTAAGTGTTTCTTCAAAGGTATTTTTCATCTTTTGTTGATATTTATTGCGGTATCCTAGATATGCACTAGAGAATACATTGAATTGACTCCGCTAAGGACCTTTTTCTTTTTGTGAAGCGTGAAGACATTACTAAACATTTAAGATTTAACGAAGAAACTAGGGTGGAGAACTGTTAGTTGAGAGAGACGAAAGTCAAAGTTATGTTTAGTTCTTAGGCTTGAACAAAAATTTAAATTTTTGTGAGAGAAAACACTGTAGCAAAAGGTTTTAAATTGCAGTTCAAACCTAAGAAACAGACAGGTAGAAAATCGCCCTTCTTGCTTCAAAGATACAGTTTAAATTGTAATGTCTTGCTAAAAGATTTGAGAATGTTAAATGAGAGACCCTGAAGATGGTGACAAAATCATACAAAAGAAATGCAGAAGTCTTAACTTTAAATTGTTTATTTGTTTTTTCTTGAACAGACCAAAAGGATTTATGGTTTGAGTTGACGTGGGCTTTTAGATTTTAATAGATTATTTCTCCTTTTAAAGGTGGTTTTGGTTTTGGTTTTGGCTTTTTTTTTTTTGTGATGGCAAGATGCCTATTAAGTTGAAAGGAAAGTTCTATAGGTCTGTAATCTGTCCAGTTATGTTATATGGTAGTGAATTTAGGAAAGTTTAATTTCGAACAGAGCTGCGTGAAAAAGTGAAATTCATATAGCCGACCCCAATTAAGTTGGGATTAAGGCTTGTTGTTGTTGTTATTGTTGTGGGTCACTTTACCCTTGCTTTTTAGCCTCAGGAGCTGAAAGTTAGCGTGGTAGAAGTTTGAAATTAATCTCAATTTTCTAATGGTTCTTTTTTTTTTTTTTTTGAAGAATTACTCTTTTGGAAAGTCTTCTTCAGTGATGAGAACCTTGGCAGGTACATGGTCATTATTTGTCTTTTACTTCCATTTTTTTTATCTAAATTTGTTTAAACGTTTTTACTAATATATACTCATGCTTATGTGGTTGGCAAGCTACTAAGTTCCTTAAAACATATAATATGATTATAATTGCTTTTACTTTGTTAGGAAAGTTTTACATAATTCTAGGTGGCTTGCTATTAAGTTTGATTACTCTTTTTACATCATCGTTTCTTACTCGATAATTGCTTCCTGGATTATGGAACATTCTTATTGTAGTCCTTATTCGGTTATTCCTTAAATTTTAAAATCAATCTTTTAGGTCCCTAGACTCTGAAGTTGTACCTAGTTGGTCAACACATTAATTGCCATTAGCAAAACTGTTTTAGAGTTCTGTGCTGAAATGAGACTTTTATCCTGGAAAAACAAATAATAACTTCAGGATGAAATCTGTCTTATCAAAGTCCAAGGACTAAAATTTCTACCAAAAAAAGGGCTAAAATTTGGTTTTCTTTATAGTTTGGGGATAATTTAGTAATACTCTTGGTTACATCTTTTGGTGGAAGTAAGTGTTTGGACCAACTAGACACAACCAATTGAGTCTAGGGCCTAAATGTAATTTTGGTGAAAGTTCAGATATTTCTAGTAAAATTAATCCTTTTTATCCGAGACTATTTTCTTCTGCCACCACAGAAATTTGGTTGGAGGCTTTATGACTTGTATGAACGTGAAGCTTAGATTATTGTTTTTCATTTTCCAAGAATAAGCAATCAGAAAGTAACTTTATGAAGTGTTAGAGAAACCCTTTCGTTGAAGACGCCAATTGGCCGAGTACTGGGCACTATAACCTTTTTCTTATTTTTTATATATTTTTTCTTTTTTTCCAAGAAATTTCCATGGTCCTATTCTTTACCTTTTCTTTTGTCCTTTGGTGATCTATTGAATGTTATGATCATTTTCCCTTGTCAGCTAGCTAATGGCTCAACCTGTTAAAGGTTGATTTTTCCCCTGCTCTCTAATGGTTTGTGTTTGGCATGTAAATTGAACAGTAAATGTGGACGATGCTGTGGATGATATTGTACGCCAGTTTAAAGGTGTATCAGATGGGTTAATGCGTAAAGTTGTTGGTCCATCTTCATCCCTTAATGAATCGCTTTCTTCAGCTTCTGCTCGGAATTTGTCCTGGAGTGCAGAAGAGATAAACAAACACATGTCTAGGCAAGATACAAGAGAAACTGCAAATAGCTTTTCTGACAATGAAGAAGGCGAGAATGATGGAAGTCATGACCCTGAGGAAGTTCGATCTAGCGCACATGCAAATGGGTGGCATTCAGACAATGAATTGAGCTCCAAGGGTTATCCCCCTCGAGTGATAAAAAAGCCAATAAAGGTGGGTTTAGAAGAGAGACAAGAAATTATGGCAAAATCTGAGAGTCATGCTGGTTTTCCTGCAACAAACTTTCCAGTGACCTCGGATCATTTAGAGGATCCAATGGGAATGCCACCCGAGGTACTTTGAGTTTTTCCTTGTCCATTCTCTACATGTATTAGCTTTGATCCTTACAAGGTGTACAGATTTTGGTTGTTGTTCATCTCAGGTGTAGTTTCTGTATACGTCTCTGCTGCTAGGTTGTTTACTAGTGTGAGGTTTATTATTTAAGCAAAGGAACTGATGCACTAATAAGAAAAATATGGGTAAAGTTTTGTCTTTATTGGTATAATTCTAGCTTTTTAAGTACTCTTCAAGGTGAATGAACATACAAGATGCTGCCATTGTTTTATTTTACTGGAGAAAATGTTTCCCAATAGAGTAATAGGACGAGCCACAGGGATATGGATTCTATATTACTATCATACTTGGTTTTAACATGGGTATCTTAGTGAGCCATCTCAGAGGAAGTTACTGGTTTACTGTGGCATTTTTCTCAATAATTTATAGACTTCTTTAATTATCTCAGCTGAATAGAAATATGTTCTGTTTATTGACTTAAATGGTGTGAGCACTTTTCAACTGTATCTTAAATTTTATGGATACTTACAATTTGCTTTTCTTGCAGTGGACTCCACCTAACGTGAGTGTACCTTTGTTGAACCTAGTGGATAAAATATTTCAGCTTAAGAGAAGAGGTTGGCTAAGGTGATCTATCCTATCTTTAAAATTCTTTTGCTTGAAATGGATATGATCTCATCTTTAAATACATCTTTGTGCTTTAATAAACTACAGAATTTGATTATATCAAGTTTCTCGCATGATTATTGATATTATCTAAGGCATGTTGTAAACACTAGTAAGTTATAATTTGGAGCATTCTGAACTTAGTGGCGCAGAAGATATACACTTCTATTTCATTTCTTCCCAGGAAATGAAACAAAACACTGTTGAGTATCATCATCAGGAAATCTTTATAGATTAGTTCTTCTCCTAACATGTCTTAAATTATTTATTTTCTTCTTTTGGTTATTAGTCATTTATCTTGCTCTTTCTTTCTTTGTTAACGACTAATTGACATCCTCTTTTCTATTGAGTGGATGGACTTTCTCATTTTTTCCAAATTCTCTCTCTTTGTGGTTTCCTTTTAGCTTATGGATCTATCCATATGTTTTATCAATATATATGCTTCCTCCTTGCTACTAGCACTAGTCATCGTGCTACATTCCTTGTGATTGGGGTTGGGGAACTCTTGTAATAAATGAGGATTGGCACTTTGGACTTCAGTAATCTTCCCTGAAGAAGAAATGGTACCGACTGGCTCTTCACAAGATAATTTTTCCATCTCGAAGGGCATTAGCCTCATACCTTTCTTCATTCTCTCTCTCTCTCTCTCTCTCTCTCTCTCTGTATATATATATATATATTACACACACACACATATCCATTTGTAAACTTTCCAGTTTCCACCCATCTCTCTTGTAATGAATGAGGATTAGCCCTTTGGACTTCAGTAATCTTCCTGAAGAAGAAACGGTACCGATCTGGCTCTTCACAAGATAATGTTTCCGTCTCGAAGGGCATTAGCCTCATAGCTTTCTTCATTCTCTCTCTCTCTATATATATATATTTATATATATAGACACACACACACACACATATCCAGTTGTAAACTTTCCAGTTTCCACCCGTCTCTTTCTATCCACATGCTTATTCATGCTTAGGTAATAACTTAGAGTCGTGTGATTTGGATTTATGTATCCTTTTCATACTTTGTTTTAACTTTAGCTTCACTTTTCCACATCTCAAAGGTTGTTTGCTGATTTATTCTGTCCTTTAAACCTGCTGACTGCAATACTTGAGAATAATTCATAATGAATCTTTTATCCATACCAATGTACTATTTTACTCAATCCTGCATTAGTATCTTCTTATATCGTGTCGGCTTTCCTAAAATCTTATGCTTTTGGGAGACCAAATTACCAAATTCAACATGTCTAATATTTATAAAACTTTGGTCGACCAGTCTATTGACTTTTGCGTGCATGAGAATGTTCCTTGTATTGCTAATTGCTTAGAACATGACATCAAGCAATATTACTGACGTCTTTTTTTTAACTATAATACCTATTGGCCTTTGACCATTGTTTATTGGTGCTATGCAGGAGACAGGTTTTTTGGATATCCAAACAGATATTACATTTAATAATGGATGATGCTATTGATGACTGGCTCTTGAGGCAGATTCATTGGCTTCGGAGAGAAGATATTATGGCCCAAGGGATTCGATGGGTTCAAGATGTAAGAACTGAATGAGTTTGACATACCTCGGCTTTGCATTGGTGCAAACCAACTTAATGATATAAATCTGCATGTGATTTGGCATGAAATCAAATACTTACACGGTTGTTATAGAAACATAGCTACATGAATAAATGTGCTTTTGCACTAGGGCATCTTCCACTTGAACTTGGGGATAATAGTGTTCCTTCTATTACAGAAGTCATAATTAGTCTGTCATTGTACCCTGACTGTGACTGTGGAGCGAAATCCTCAACTTTTTCTTTTTGATAACACTCCTTTCAGTTGAATGAAAAAATTATAAGAAATGTAGTAGTGGAAGAGCCATGACTCTTTCTTTCCGTTTGAATGGAAAAATTATGAGAAATGTAATGGAAGAGCCATGCAAGTGTTTTTCTAATTAAATGTATATTTATTTCTCCCAGGTTCTATGGCCTGATGGAACATTCTTCCTTAGACTACGAAATGCAGAGGGCAAAGATGATGACGAATTCGATCTAAAATCTTTTCAAGGTGCGAAACAAATTGGTGGCAGTAAGGTCTGTACACCTGGGTCTTTTGAGCAGCAGCTTGAAGCTGCTCGCAGAGCAAGTGATGTCAAGAAAATGCTCTTTGGTGAGTAATGACTATTATTTACAATGTATGGGGGTCAATATATGGTTGATGCATATTTAAATGCATGCTTATATAGTAATATAGTGTTATATATAGACTTTATCAGTGAATGCTCATTCTTTTTAAGATTCAAACAACGGGAGTTGCCATCTGGAGGATTGCTCGGCTATCATTGTAGGGTGAAAAAAAATAAACTGATCTCTTTTGTTTCTATCAGATGGAGCTCCTACAACATTGGTGAGCTTGATTGGAAACAAGCAGTACAAGCGTTGTGCAAAAGACATTTATTATTTCACTCAGGTTAGCTTCTCATATTTTCATCTTCCATTTAAATTTACTTGATAAATTCATTTTCATTCAACAATTTATTTAAATTTTGCAGTCTACTATCTGTATAAAGCAGCTTGGCTACGCGGTACTTGAGCTATTGCTGATATCCATTTTCCCCGAGTTGCGGAATCTTGTACTAGATGTGCATGGGAAGACGCACGTTCATCAACCTGTATAGGAAGGTAAATAATTTATTTTCCAAATCACTCCTGAGAGTGGTTGGTAATTTTCCTCATGCGATCCTTTTACGAGAAGATTGGGTCAATTGGGTTACCTTAGCTTTTTGTGTAGCATTCATTTCATAGATTAGGTGAAACATTCTATGGAATTGAGAAACTAGAAAGTAGCTTTTTTTTTTTTTTTTTTTTTTTTTTTTTTTTTTTTTTTTTTTTTTTTTTTTTAACTGTACAGATGTGTAGATATATAATAGGCATGTACAGAAAGCTTGTATATCTTATTAAAATTATTTTCCTATTTTTGGTGTGTGACTTCAGCATTGCTCGGTTTGTCTTGATCTGCTTGTAATAAGCAATCCTTTTGGCTCCCTCTGGTAGAGAGATACTAAGGATTTAAGGAACACAAACAAATTGAATGTGATGCGGAAATATTTGTGGGGAATGGCTATAATGAGAAATGCTTATTTTTCATTGATAAGGCATAAATTATATGCTGTAGGGTTATATCCAATGATGCAAATCATGACGATGAGTTGGACTAAAAATAAAAAACATCGTAAAGGGTGCCAATAGGAAGGGTGAGCTGAGTTGGAGGTGAATGACACTTGAAAAGAAGAAGGCCCCTTCGCGGACCTTTCCAATTACAAAAGTGGTATTCCTATCAAATTAGATTCACGTGGTTCTATCTAGTGCCTATATATCAGGGCTTATTATTTGTGAGTGACAATATTATAAATTTTAAGGATACGTTTGTTTCATATATTTAAATTTAAATTATTAATTTTGTTATAAAGTTTTTTTTGATAAAAAATTTTAAATTTTAAACATTAAAATTAAGAATCATAATTTAAATACTTTTTAAATTGGTCATAAATAATTTATTTTTAGATAATTTACACAAATAGTCTTTAATTTTTTCAGTAAGTGATAATTTAATCTTTAATTTTTATTTGTAAAACGACCCGGTTCTTTACCTCTAAAAAGTAATGGGACAATGCACGTATCCTCCACGTGACCCATGTTTACGGTGGAAAGACAAAATTGCCCTTAATTACTCTTCTTCTTCCTCGAATGCAAAATCGCCCTTATGGCAGAAGCAAACTAGTAAAGCGAAGGAGAGGCCCCAGAGAAACTATTCGTTCTTGCTCCGCGCCTCTCTCAACTCTCTCTCTCTCTTCCTAGTTCTGCTTAGGCCGTACTAACTAGGACTGTACTTTGTTCACAACAGCTTGGTCACGTGTATTGTATAAGTCGAGGTTAGAAAGAGAGAGAGAAGTTGGTTTTTTTTTGTGTGTGTTTGAGGAGGTGGGTGGAGGTTAGATTTCTGAGTTTTTGGTTTAATAGGTTTGTTCGATCTGAATCGATCTATGAGTTTTGAGGATTGGGATTAGGGTTTTCATGTAAAGTAATAAAGAGAGAACCGATTTCACTGTATGTGATATGTCTGTTGAGGTTTGTGATTCTATCATGCAAATAAAGATGGTCACCGACAAGCTAAATTTTGCTAATTTGATAGGTTGCTTTGTTTGGAGCTATGGTTGAATCCCGTACTTTTTGAGATTTTTCTCAAGTTTTTTGTTAAGATTTTCACGAGACAGATTTTTTTTTTTTTTGAGATATGGTTGAATCTGGGCTGTTGCTACTGATTTCAGTGGATTTATATCATTGACTTTGAGATTTTTTTTCTCTGAGTAATTTGAGTTTGAGATTTCATCCATGGCCGACGTGGGGGATATTTGTTTGGAGAAGAAATACCAGATGAAGATCGAGAAGATGGAGAAGAAAGAGAGTATTTAAATTAAATGAGGACCGTGAGGAGATAAAAAAAAGTTATTGTAGGATCCGAGCTTCTTTGTTGCCGAACAGGGAAGAGAACATCCGACTGAACAACAAACCCATTGCCGGATCTAGCATTCTTGGTTTCTGTAGAAGCTGAGGAAGAAGAAGGCCCTTAAGGCATTTTTGTCTTTTAATTGAAAAAAGAAGTCACATGATGCTCGCGGAAATCTGGAAATCTGTTAAAAATTTGATGCGAAAATCTGGAAATCTGTTAAAAGTTTGACAGAATTGGACGAAAATGATCAGATTGTTTTAAAAAGATTATGAGTCTTTTTGTTAAAAAAAATTAAGAATCCAACTGTCATTTATTAGAAGAGATTATGACCGTTTGTGTAAATTATTCTTTTTATTTTCCTAATTGTGTTTTTGGAAATGTGTATACTTTATGTTGATTTTTTTTTAAGTCGATTAAGAACTTTAAGAATTCCAAAGTTTTGTCCTCTTTTTAGCAATCATCAATTAGGGTGTGTTTGGTAAGGGGATTTGTATTTTGATTCGAATCATGGTTCATAGTTCACTACAGTGTTTTCTCTCATAAAAAATACACGTTAATCGAAAATAGTTTTAATTTCATGATTCTAATTCATGAACCAAACGTCTTCTAAAACACTCAAACCTTACTGAGATAACGAAATTTTCGGGTTTCAATCCACTAAAACAAGTAAACAACTCCCAAAAAGCAAAACAGTTTTTCCAATTTCACTCAAAATACTTCCAAAAAACAAATAACTTCACCATTGAAAAAAAAAAACCCTTATATTTGATGAACAACCCAGATCAGCGAGCCTCTGCTGTCGCGTTACAGCCTAACTTGTTTTCATCCGCTCCAACCCTCACGAAGCTAGACCTTCGTAACCCCCACTCACTTTGACTGACACCTTGTCATCCACGCCTAAGCTCCCACCTCCTCTATGTATGATCAGGTATGCCTTGTCGCCTATCCCCTTTCCATGTAACCCCCACCTTTCCTATGTACACTTTTAGATTATGATTATACAATCCAACATTTTGAAATATGCATTATGCATAAGTATCAATTTGATCACAATAAAGTTACTCCAATGCAATTCTTGATGATAATAAATAAGTAGTTCGTTGTTAGAACCGTTTTTTTTTTCTCAGTGGTATTTGGTATCGAAATGATTCCTAAATAATATTTGTTTGGTATATGTTTTTAAAAATGACTCTTATAGTTTGAAAACGGTTTTAGTTTTTTGAGGAAAAAAGAAAATGCCCAAATGTGTATAGGGAAAATGAGGGAAATAACAATTTTGGGAGGGGTTATTAAAATTAATAGCAGAATTTAGAAACGTGTCTAGTTAATAGTAGATTATCTCTCGTTCACACACTCACTCCTCGCGCTCCATTTCTCTAGCTTGCTTGCTCTCTCTCTGCGTTCATGACTAATCCGCCAAAGCCATGCCAATGTTGCAGTGCCATTCGCGTTCGTTTGTCTTCATCGTTTGTCCTTTCCATCGCAATCTCATCGCCTCAGTTTGATCTAATTTTCTCGCACGATTCCCAGGCGTTTCCTAACACCATTTTTGCCATAGAAAGATTGCTAGCGAGAATCTTCACACTCTAGATTCTCTGTGATTGGACTTCTTCGCAAATTCCCAGACTCCTCCACATGTGGCTACACAGATCTACTGAGATCTTGACCTTTTCTCTACACACGGTGCTGCTATGGAGAATGTCTACCGATATGGATGGCAATGGGGCGGGGTGGAGACGGAGGATGATTTCCCATCCCCATCCCCGCCTCCCTAAACTGTCCCTATCCCCGCTCAAAGAGGGGCATGGTCGAAGTCGGGGATTCCTCATTGAGAAAATCTTTCCTATACTTGCCTCATTCTCCATCATATATGATTATGTATTTTAAAATTTAGCAACTTAAAATTAAAATAGAATAGAAATTCATTATAAATTTAAGCCAAAATCAAAGATTCCATAATAAAAATTAAATTCGCAACATATTACTGTTGGGAATGGTGTCCTAGAAGCATGAAATGTAATAGGATATTTATTATTTATTTAATAAAAGAGTTTATTCATTATTTTATGTGCATATATTTATGAATATTTTATGAATATCAATAAAAATTCCATGATTATTTATGTAACCTTAAACATTGTATATAAGTGTTATATACGAGAGGATAATGTTTAAGGATAATAATCAAAAAGCAATGTTCATAATGAATTTAATTAAAGTTTGGAATCTTTAATTAAAACATTATTAATACATGTCATTCCCATTTAGAATGGAACGGTGTTATCCGCACTGTTGATATGGTGAGATATTGAATGAGTGTATTTCGTATAATGAGATTATGTGGAACAAGGACACAGACACAAAATGAATTTCTAATAATTCCGTTAAGTATAGAAATTCTAATTGAGTCTACCGATGGTCATATATAGGATGATCTTAATCCTAAGTTCTTAACAGACTCCTATTTATGGATTTGTGTCTTTTGATTTACTCGGTACAGATTCTGAGATACTGGATCATATTCCTTGTATTTTGGAGACATGATGAAGTAGGTAGCCGGGAATGTTATTACACGAGATGGAATCCATTCATTCTTAACAAAGAAGTAGATAAATAATTCTCTTGAGGGTTGATTCGGTACTTGGACCAGTAGGAGCTCCGATTCAACACTTCACAGTTTAGAAGTAATTTATGTCTATAATTTTGAGAGTGCAATTCCATGTTTATAGTGGAGTAACTATTGGAATTAATAGAATTAATTAATTAATTAAAGTGTTTAATTGATTATTAATTTTATTGGAGCTCGGGATTATAGGTCCATTTGTCCCCTCGTCGTCCTAGTAATTCTGCCAGACACAGAGGGCAAAATGGGAATTTTAGAATTACGGAATTCTAAAATTAAATACTCGAAAATAATTAATTGAGAATTAATTATTATTTAAATAATTTGATTATTTAAATTTGAATTTGAACACATCTAGATTTATCCATTTAAACTTATTAGATAAGTTGTTTAATTTAGAAATTCAAATTAATTTAAGTTTGACTTAAATTCGAATTTGAATTTGAAATAAAATTGGACTACAGGATAAAGGATGATTTTCTCTTCCTTCCCTATCCAGTATTGGCGCCACACACAGGGATAGGAATCCCTAGCATGGCCGGCCACAAGGGATAAGGGATAGAGGAGAATTTTGGTTCGAAATTTAAATTGGAGATAGAGATTTGATTCCTTCTAGAAGTTTGACTTCTACTCTATAAATACTATTTTTGAGACAATTTTTGGAATGATTTTTTGCCCTAATTTTAGAGGTAGCCGAAATTTCTCTATAGAAAGAA